CGTATAGCTTTGTTGGCCATCTGATTAATGACCCTCTTGGGCAAAATAACCTTTGTTTAACATGGTTGATCTGTGGGACCTTCTCTACTTTTTGGTTATTTCTTTCTTTAACATGACTGATCTGTAAAACCTTCTGTGTTTTTTGAAATTATTTCTATGGCAACCGTTTCTGTTTTAATAATCCCACTATGCATTGAATGTTGTATAACCTCCCCTATAAAAACAAAGGTTGATTTTTCTCGGCGAGTCAGTCAGGCCCAGAGAGCTGGGCTGTCCTCGGGCACCCCACTGGGTGTCTCGCTTCATTCGCTTCGCCTGAGCCGTGCACATCCCTCGGGGACCCTGAGGCCCCGCTGAGGCGGGACCCCGGCAAAGATCACTTATTCCTTGCTTTGCAACAATTGAATAATCGGCCTTTAGGCAATTCTACGCCTTTGGCATGAATGACGACTCCTGATTTGCAGATTCAAAGCCAGCAATGTGCTAGTACCCTAAAATGGTGGGCGATCGACCCTAATGCCCAGGCCCCATTGATGGGCACTTCAGCATCAGCAGGAAGTGACTTACGCACACTGCGGGAGATCTGGATCGACCCTCATACTGCTCAGACTGTTCCGACAGGATAAGGTACACACATCCCAAAAGGACATTTTGGACATATTCTCCCATGATCCAGGCTAGCTTTAAAGGGATTGCAAATTATGGCTGGAGTCATTGATTCAGATTGTGTGGGAGAAATAAAAGCACTACTGTATAGTGTATCCTCACAACCTGTACCACCGCCAGCCCAGGAACGGGTGGCTCAAGTAGTCACTATCCCCTATCACAAGGGGGAATGGCAACAACTTCCCCAGGCCCCTGATGCCACCACCAGAGTGGGGGGCTTTGGGTCTACCAGTATGAAGACTGGAGCTGAGGTATGTGGGTGAAGAAATATCCCCCCGATAGGCCTGGGGCTACAGAAGTTACTGCCGAAGGAGCTAACAATGCCCTAGCAGTTACCTGCACGGGACAGGACAACATTGAAATTCTACCCACTAATCAGTTGTTCCTGCGGGAATAACAGTGTCTCTTAGGGCTTCTCCTCCGATGGTGGATGATATGGATGGTCGAAGCCTGGACACCCGGCACCCTTCTTGCTGGTTCTAAGTCGAAACTGTGACTCTTCTGAGTAAACCACAGTCCACCCTGCCAACAAGACCATTTCATGCACCCAACCAACAACGGTCACTGAAAACTGCTGTCCAGGGGAAATCATCTATTATGACCCTCAGCATGCTAAAACATTCTGCCAATATCATCTCCTGCACAGGTGGCAAACACAAGGCCCTCGGGCCGAATCTGGCCTCCACCTTGTTTTATCCGGCCCGGCACCTTGTTTCTACCCGGTGGCAGAGCGGAGCTCTCGCTTAACTGTTAAGGAGCAGTTACATTTATACAGTCCTAAAGTTACATTCGGCCCTTTGAAGGCCACCGTGAGGCTGATGTGGCCCCCGGTGAAAATGAGTTTGACACCCCTGACTGTTAACACAAAAGGGAGTAGACCCCCTTAACTCTGAGCGGGGGACCTATCACCACGCTTGAGTGACAGATGAGACTCTGAGGCACGTGAAAGATCGGTTACATGCCCACAGTCACGTACCTTGTAGGAGGGACCCAGCCAGGACCCTGTCCATCGCTTCAATTCATGTTTGTTTAAAGTGTTAGGTTATATTAGGGCAATACATACAACATGCCCCGAATGATTTTAATTTGTGATTAAAAAACTACTTTAGATGCAGAATTAAAAATGTGTGAAGCATACATATTTATTTATATGTTATTTTATTTTTAATTAGATTGATTGGGAAGACATTGGTTAACAAGGTTATACAGGTTTCAGATGTATGATTCTATGATTGGTTCAGTGTCAAATTATTTTCTGTCACCTTATCTCTGCCCCCCTCTGCCCTTTACTACTGGCCCACCCTGCTTCCCTCGGGTAACCCCACACTGTTGAGTCTGTGAGTTTCAGTTTTATCTTCCACATATGGGTGAGATCATCTGGTTCATGACTTTTTCTGTCTGGCTTAATTCCCTTAGCATGATATTTTCAAGATCCAGGCATGTGTCACTGATGGTAGCGATTCCTTTTTCCTGGCTGAGTAGTATTCCACTGTATGTATGTACCAGCCACACTTTCTGTGTCGGATCATATATCCAAGGACAATTCGGTGGTTCCCATGTCATGGCCACTGTGAATAATGCTGTAATGAAAAGAGGGATGCATAGATCTTTGAAAATAAGTGTTTTTAAAGTTTTGGGGTAGATACCCAGAAGAGGGGTTGCTGGGTCATATGGGAACACTCTTCTTAATGTTGTGAGGGACCGCCATACTGTTTTCCATAGTGGCTGCACCAGCTCACATTCCTGGCAGCAGGGAATGAGGGCTCCGTTCTCTCCACAGCCCCTCCAACACGTGTTGTCACCTGTCTGGTCGATGACAGCCTCTCGAACCAGCGTGAGGTGGCCTCTCATTGTAGCTTTGATTCGCATTTCCCTCACAGCTAGGGCAGTTGAGCATCTTTTCGTGTATCTGTTGGCCATTCCTATGTCTTCTGGGGAGAAGTGCCTGTTTAGGTCCCGGGCCCACTTTTTAAATGGATTGTTTGTTTGGTGTTGAGTGGTATGAGTTCTTTAAATATTTTGGATACTAACCCCTTATTGGAGCTGTTGTTTACAAATACGCTCTCCCCTTTGGTTGGTTTGAGGCATACATATTTTTTAAAAATTCTTTTAGAGGTGTGTCGACAAAGACGTTTGAAACCCTGTTACAGACCTCAGTGCTCTAGGGGTGGTGGCAGAGGTCAGGAGGTCAGGAGGCGGGGCCTCTTCCTCCAGCTGGCTGGCCTGGCGTTGATGTGGCTTCTTGTGTTCAGCACAGTGGTGTTGCTCCCAGAACACATGAGCAACGGGAGGACAGGGATTTTGTCTGTTTGGGCCATTATTGTCCCCCCAGAATCGACAGTGCCTGGCATCTCGTAAGTCCTCAGCAGATGTTTGTTGAATGAATGAATGGCAGACACTTACTGAGCTCTCACTCTCGAAGGGGTGCCTGTGCATTCCCATCGAATCCTAGTGCAACACATAGGTCCGACCAGCAGCCCCGCTTCAGAGTTGGGGAGACTAAGGCATGGAGAGGACAGTAACCTGCTCAAGGTCACTGATCAAGGAAGTAGCGGGCTGGGACCCAGGCATCCTCACCAGAGCCCTTCACTGAGATGCCTCCTCGCCCCAAGGACATGGGGACAAGGGCCTGTGTCTTCGGGTTCTGGAACTCCGGGCACCTTGGGGCACTCCGTGAATGCGACACCTTTCACAGCCACCTCAAACAACCCCCACTCTCTGCTGTTGCCTCCTAAGTGGTTTTCCCTCCCCCCTCCCTGTTTCATGTCTAAGTTACACAAACCCTGCCACGTGCCGGAGTCCCCGTGTTACGGACCTACGTACTTATGCAAGCATCTTCCTCACACGTGAGGGGCAGTGAAGGGAAGCACAGGGGGCGTCTGGGAGGAGGTAAGGAGGTGGAGAGGAGGCGGCGAGCAGTCTGCAGCCGGCGGCAACAGACATGAATAAAACAAGCCCGGACTGCATGGCTAAGAGATGGCGGCAGGGTAACATTTATTCTAAGTGGCTTTCCAAGAAAATAGCTTCTGTTCCTCCGGCCCCCTGGAAGGGCCTCCAAAGCTCCAGCTACGTCAGGAGGACGTCTCCTTCTCTTCTGTGTACAAAGCGGAGGGACTTGGAAGTCAAAGGTGGACCCTCACCTCTTGGTAGTGAGGATTCCGGCTCCGCATCAGCCCCAGGCAAGACCAGCATGCTGCCTGTCAGCCGTCTCTCCGTGTCTTTTTCTTTTCTTTTTTTAAATTGAATCTATCGGGGTAATGCTGGTTGATAACATCATATATGTGTCAGGTGGACAGCTTTGCAATACATCACCTGTGTATCCCATTGCGTGCTCACCGCCTGAGGTCCAGTCTCCTTCTCTGACCTTGTATTTGACCCCTCTCCCCTCTTCACCCTCTCCCCACCCCCTCCCCTCTGGTAGCCACCATTCTGCTTGTGGGTTTTTCCTTTTCCTTTTTTTTTTTAATCTGTCCATTTGTTGATTTTTGTTTAATATCCCACGTATGAGTGAAATCATACGGTTCTTGGCCTTTTCTGTCTGACTTCCCTTAGCATGATACTCTCGACATCTGCCCACGTGGTCACGAAGGGCAGTGTTTCATAATTCCTGATGCCCGAGTAGTGTCCATTGTGAGGACGCATCACAGCTCTCACCAACTGCCGGACCCTTTCCCGTCTCCACACCACCACAGCCTGAGGGGACCCAAAGACCAGAGGCTTGGGGACTTCAAGTGGCACTTGCCTCAGGCTCCAAAGGTGGGAGAGGGGAGGGGTGGTGGGGTGCAGAGTGGCTCCCCCAGGAAAGAAAGACCTGTTCCTGGCTCCCAACACCCTATGACCCCTTTCTTGCCACAGTCCGCCTCTGTAGTCTCCAGGACCTCGTGGCTGATTTCAGGGACAGTGGGGATCAAAGGGCGGCTTAAGCCCCTCCCTGGGGCCAGATGTAAACACTGATCCCTAACTCCTCACCTTGGCTCCTGACCCTTCACCCAGGGACCCCTGACCCTTCCTTGCCCAGGAGATGTAACTTCTTCCCTCGGCGCCCTAGCCGCTTCCCCCCAACCCCCTAGCCCAGGACCCTGGGAAACGAGGCCAAGTGCAGGGGCGGAAGGGCGCCTGCGCTGCGGGCGGCTTTGGACCTGGCAACCCGGGGTGGGACAGAAGGGGTCTGGGCGGGAGCGGGGGTGGAGGCCCCTCGGGCGCGGCGACCGCGGCCCCTCCCGCGCCCCAGCCCTCCGCCCCCGCCGGGCGCCAGCCGTGACGTCAGAGCCGGACCCGCTAAACTGAGCAGCGGCGGCCGCGGGGCGACAGAGACTAGGACCCCGAGGCGCCCGGACGGACCGAGCTCGCAGCAGCCGGAGCAAACAGCCGCCAGGGACCGCGAGGTAACGCGGACGCCGCTCCCTGCTTGCAGTGCTCCGTGCGGGTGCAGAGCGCCTCCGGGGCGCAGGGGCGCAGGGGAGAGCGGGGCCGAACCGGTGGGGGGGTGGCTGGGGAAGCCCGGGAGGCGCTGCTGGCCGGGCTCCGGAAGGCTGCGGCGAGCGGGCGCTCAGGACGCACAGAGCGCTTTGTCCCGCGGCGCTTTCCTAGCGCGCAGTGGTAGAAGCAGGACTTGGGCGCGCGCCCCGACGGCGCCTCTGGGCGTTATTAGCAAGGAGCAAAGGTGTGGGTGAGGACTGTCGCCGCAGGTGAGCCCAGGGTAGGACGCCGGGGACATTCAGGTCTAGCCCCTTCTACGGCCCGGGAAGTCTGAGCACGGGGGTCGGCGGGAGTCTCTGGCCCGCCACAGCTACTCACCTCCCGCCGCGCCCGCAGCCGAGCCCCAAGCCATGGCCCTGAGCGACTGGGCGCTGGTCCGCTGGCTGGGGGACAGCCGCCACTCCAGGAAGCTCATCCTGTTCATCGTGTTCCTCGCGCTGCTCCTGGACAACATGCTGCTGACCGTCGTGGGTACGTACGGGCTGGGCTGGCACTCCCCGGGCACCCCTTCCCTGGGCGCCCCACTTACCCCAGCGTGGTCCTGGAGCTCTCTGGGCGTCCTGGGAAAGTTGGAGAACACGCTTTGCAGAAACACATCCCCCAAGACCGCCACGCCTGGGCTCGTAAGAGCGCGTTGTGGCTTCGTTTTCCTGGCAGTCTGGTCAAAAATGTGACATCGATAAAACCCAGAGCTGGTGTTTCCTCCTGATAATTTCCAGCTTCCCCCTGCCCACGGTCGCCGCAATGAAGAAGATTTCTGTTGAGGACTAGCAATTCCCTGAGTTCAGAGTAATGTTATAATAATTATTATGCCACCCCAAAAGGAGGGTTCAGGATTTGGTGTGACATCTAAAGGAACAGAAAACATCCCCCCCTCCAGAGAGGGAAGTGACATTTCAATAGATTGTATCCGTGAATGACTCGAGACGGGAACATTTCAAGACTGTGTCAAGAGCAATTTGAACAGTGTTCATTTTAGCCTTTTTTTCTGTCATGGATTTTTAAGAAATTAAATAATTTAAACCCAGGTCTCTTCATTAGCCCCATTAACAGCAAAACATTTGGCCTGTTTTTCCTGAAAAAAAAATCCACATTTTTAATGAATAAAAAAATTTTTTTTTTTTTTTAAATTTCAACTCTCAGGAGTGGGTTATCTCCTCTCTCTCCGTTTGTAGGTTTTTCCGAGACAGTTTTCAGGGCATCATGTGGTCAGGTTCTCATGGCAGGGACTGGCAGGGGCATGAGGCCCGTCCGAGCTCCGTGACGAGGGCCTCTGTCTCCTCTGTGTTCCGTGCTCTGTTGTTACACAGCTGCCCGAAGCTTTTGCTACATCGAAAGGTTTTTATCCTTTTCCTTTAGAAAAGCCTCAGAAATTCTTTTTTAAAAAACAGTTTTATTTCTTTACGTATTTCTAAAGAGAGAAAAGGGAGAGAGAGAGAGAAACATCGATTTGTTGTTCCACTCCTTTATTTATTCACTGGTTGATTCTTGTGTAAACCCTGACCAGGGATCGGACCCGCAACCTTGGCGTATCAGGGCGGCGCTCTAACCAACTGAGCTACCCGACCGGGGCTCTCAGAAAGTCTTAGATTTTCCAGGTAGCATGAAAATGTGCCAATTCCCACTTAAAAAATAGAGAGATAAAGTGGGCCTGTTGCAGAATTTCCAAATTATTACTTCTTGCAGGTTTACTTTTTTTCTAAGACACACAGTGAAATTTAGGTTTCTCTTTGCTTCATTCATTCGGTTAAAGGTCTTCGGGGTGTCTCTCTGAGAAGCCCTGGCTGACCCTGGGTCGGCATGGACTCAAACCCAAACCGAAGTTTGCTTTCCCCGAACGGGTTCCTGCTCGGGAACCCCATGATGAGAGACCCTGTGGAGGACGGGATTCTCTGGGGCTGGCTGGGCAGTGCTGCACAGTCACGGGCTCTGAGAGCACGGAACTTCTCTGCCTCCCGGGGCTTTGTCCTCCCTAGGGAGCCAAGTCGAGTGGAACTGTTCCAAAGTCAGCATGGGAGGGGGCCGTCCCCAGGGTAGGTGTCCCACCTCCCCGTGTCTCGTTTGGCATTTGAGGTGACCACAGGTTTTTCTGGCATTTGCCCCAGGGAGGGTTGCAGCACAGTCACCCCCTTCCTGTTCTGCTCTTGCCCCCAGTGCCCATCATCCCCAGTTACTTGTACAGCATGAAGCATGAGAAAAACATGACGGAAATCCAGACCGCCAGGCCAGGGCTCACAGTCCCCACCGCCTCGGGCATCTTCTCCTATTACGACAACTCCACCGTGGTCCTTGGCAACAACACCAGAGACTCTCAGGGGACCCCGCTGCCTAAGGCCACCACTCAGCACACGGTGACTAACACGACCGTCAGCCCTTCCAACTGCCCCAGTGAGGACGAAGACCTCGTGAACGAAAACGTGCAGGTCGGCCTGCTGTTCGCCTCCAAGGCCATGGTCCAGTTCCTCACCAACCCGTTCATAGGACTGTTGACCAACAGGTGAGCTGTGTCCTTCTGGCCAGAGAGTTTTGCCTTTATATTGTTCCAAGCTCGTTTCCCCCTGGGGTTGTGTTTCTCATGCATTTATACCGAATCTGGGAACCACTGCGGGGTGAGCTGGGGAAAAATCTAATCCCTTCCCCTTATGTTTCTGTCCATCGTTCATTACAATTGCCCATTTGCTTCAACTTCCATTGCTACCCTTGTTGCTTGGAAAGGAAGAGGCTACTGCAGCAGCATGCAGAGGCCCTCCCCACGCGGGAGAACTTTGATTCTGCCTACGTGCCACCTTTCGCAGTCGGATTCTCCGTGCCACGCAGTTTTCTCTTCCCTTCCACCCCTGGTCGTGCACTTCCTCACGGGAAGCCACGGTGGCTTCTTCAGAGCTGGCCGGGTGAAGGTCAAGTGGACGGTCGGGTGGAGGATGTAGGGAAAGAAGGGTCGGCTTTCTGCAGATCAGAAAGCTGTCGCTGGTGTGGAGGTCCCGGGCAGTGTGACAGGTCTGTCCCCAGCCGGTGCCTGACCTGTGCCCACGTGCACACAAGGCAGAGAAGTGTAGCTGTTTTCTGCATGAGTCACACCGGCTGATAATGCCCCAAATAGTGCCCAGACTAGCTCCATGCTGCCCCGGATGTTCTGGACACTTCTGGACCCCCGTTACGTTGTTCACGCCCCTGTGGTTGGTGGGTGGCCTGGCAGCAAGTCTTCGCTCCACAGCGGAGGTGGCCCAGCTCTGCCTGGTCCGTGGGGCCCCAAGGGTGGGACCAGGGTTTGCAGTGGAGGGGAGGGGGTGTCGGCTGCAAGGGGAAGGAGACAGAACAGTGTAAGTGCTGCTGGTGGTGGGCTGCCATCTCAACAGCGTGGCCCCAAAGGCAGAAGCGTCAAAAATAGAGGAGGAAGTGCCCAGAGTCCTACCCGTGAACCAGGCCTGGACACAGGGACAAAGACAGAGACCAGAGGTGGAAAAGAAGGGCCGTGGTGGGGAGGTTGGGGGTGGGGAGAAGGGCGAGCAGGGGGAACGGGCTGGGCTGGTCTATTCAAGGCCCCAAGTGGGAGGTAGAGAAAAGGGTGGGTTTTTACTGTGGGGCTCCTTGGAAGCCATTCAAGGTTCCAGGGCCAAGTTGAAGAGACAGCAAGCTAACCCCAATTTTAAGTAGGTCCGTCCAACACCCAGTGTAGGTTGGGAATAGGAAGGTCTTCACATTTGCCTAGGCTCGGGTCTAGGGAAGCAGGTGGTGGGCAGGACCAGGAGCATCCTTTGCTTCAGTTAATATTAACCTCTCAAGAGGGTAAGAGCAAGTGTTAATTCAAGGCTGGGGCCCTCTTAGAAAGGGGCTGTGTGTGACCTGGGGGTCAATGGGGGGGGCGTGGCGGAGGCTCAAAGGTCTACCTTCCCCTGTCCTAGTACAAGCTGTCCTCGGACACACAGAGGTAGCAGGTGATGTACCTACGGTGAATTGGACAGAAACACATTTTGTTTTTTGAGAAGATTTTATTTATTTATGTTTAGAGGAGAAGGGAAGGAGAAAGAGAGGGAGAGAAACATCAGTGTATGGTTGCCTCTCGAGTGCCCCCTCTCAGGGACCTGGCCTGCAACCCAGACACGTGCCCTGACTGGGAATTGAACTAGAGACCCTTCGCTTTGCAAGCTGGCACTCAATCCACTGAGCCACACCAGCCAGGGCAAAAAGCACGTTTTAAACTTTTGCAATTTGATTTTCTGGACCGACTCCATTTGAACCATCCCAAGCCGTGTCCAGAAATCCAGTCCATGCGAAGCAGTGCTGTGAAGCTGCCACCTCAGATCAGCTAAGCAAATTGACTCGGCCGTGACGGCCTGATGGTGCCCACCCAGAAGCACCATTGGCGAGGGGATGTCACCAGGCTCCTCTGTTCTTGAGGTGGAAACCCAAACTGTCCTCAGTGGTTGCAGGGTGGTTTTCTTTCCCTTTTCAAGACTAAGAGCACTTCCTCAAGTGCGTCTGGGATAATTACAGACAACGGCTCAGGGTTTTGCATTCTCAGAAAGCAGGCAGCTCGAGGTCTATAAGGGAAAATTGAGGACGTTCTTGAAGTAATGCCTCGCTGTTACCCTGGGTGCCAATGTCACTAGCCATATAGTGTAATGATTAAAAACTCGGCTGAAATGACGTGAGCGTGCCTGTCTTCCAAATGCAAGTGGCGAGTGAAAAGCTTTTAAAAAGCCCCATTCTTGTTTTTAGTGCTTTGTTCATTCCATGAGGAAAAGTATGTTTATGACTAGTGAGACCTTTCCTCTATATTAAATACTCCAAATGTTTTGCCGTTGCAGCCAGCCAAGACTCCTGTTTGGGGCTCTGAAAAAAAAAAGTCTTCCAAGAGAAACCTAATTTCCTTTTGTGACCTGTGAAATTTTAGTCTATTCTTAGGGTGAGCAATCTGCTTTGGAATTTATCTACAGCAACATTTTAAACCCTACCTGCTTCCTCCAGCTAACTTCAAATTTCCAAATAACCATCTTTTAGTGCTGCCTTGTCATGTGGGAAATGCAAGTACATTTTAATATGGATGTTGGCAGAATAATAGAGCGAACGCTATCTCTCCGACAATGATCACGATTTGTGATTTTTTCCAATACGTTCTGAGCCCAGCAGACCCGAACCTGGGGACCTGCAGTGTTTCTGGGCACCACCCGGTTCTGCGCAGAGAAGGGGTAAACACGCTCCGTTTTCCTTCACAGAATCTTCCTTCCTGAGCCAGTGCAAATAGTCTTTGAGGTAATTTGTGCCAATCACATCCTCAATTACCCACAAGATGTGGGATTCACCTTTTCAGTGCTGTAAACAAGTGTGTTTAAAACAGCATTTTGCCACGGGTTTAATATGTTTGTGGTTAAAGAGTGGTTAAAAACACAGAGCTCCAGAGCTTGGAGAGACTGCAGCGAAGCCTTTGGGCCAGGCCTGGGGTTTTCTAGGCAAAGGAGTTTGCTGTTCGGGAGGAGGAGGGCCCCCCCAGCTGCGGGGCCCAGACTCTCTGTCTGGGCATCTTTCTCTCCTCCCATTCTTCCCACCTGCTTCCTGTCATACCGTCTGAATGTCTGGCTACTGAAAATCAATGGTATAGGTCAAAGTCCGTCTTTGTGGCACGGCCTTGGGCTCTCTGGTGGAACCGGGCTGAGCTGGTAAAGGCCTGAACAGTGAGTTGTTGGTTGCTATCTGTGCCAATGGGTGGGGCGTTCAGAAAGCAATCAGCCTGGTTCTGGGGACCTTCCCTTACCTCCTTGGCCCTAAAAAAAATCTGTTTTCAGCTACTGATGTGTGCTGGTCCAGCTTCCTAGCATCCCTGCAGCGCTTTCGACAGTGGGGAAAAGGGGGGCTTCCTGCACCCCAGAGTCACGGGAGATTTACCCGGAGACAGGCTGCTTGGAGCCACTCCTGTCCAAAGCCTCGTAGTGTAAGCAGGCCCCTCTCTGCAATGGGACCCCCAGCGTTGCACACGTCACAACCGGCTCTTCCACATTACACCCCAGACCCCCGTAGTCACGGGCTTGGTGCTGCTGTGCACGTGGCCTCTGGGGGTGGATGATACAAGAGGCAGGCTGTCTTCCTGTTGTTTTATGTATCAGATAAGACCGCATGACAAACCCTGAAAATAAAAAAGGGCAGTTCTTGGGAAGCATGTACGTGTTCATCTGGCTGCTAATATGATACAAGTAATTTCTCTTTCACTTCCTCTTCTGGTACCATAGTTTTACTGAAAAACTATGTGCCCAGATGGGAGCAGAGGACCTTCGTTTTTGGCCAAACGTCGTGCTCGCACATCCAATAGGACGTGCTAAAGTCTGCTGGTACCGTGGTTAGCTTGATTTCTGTCTTCGAGGCTCGTGTGACTTATTTTATAATTCCAGTTTATTTCCTGACTGCCCCGTGTGCGAAAGGGGGTGGAAGGACTTCCAGTAGCAACGCCTGTTATCCTTTGGGCCAGCAAGCAATTTTTAGACATGCACACACATAAAAGGAATGTGAAAACACCTTTACGTGTCTCTGTCTGCAGATCAGGTTAAGAATGTAGCATCCTGGTCTTCACTTGCTTAGCATAAGGGTTGCGCAGTATTCGCATCTTGAGAACTGCGAGTTATTCCAAACATACCGGGTGGCGAGGGAAAGGGTTAACTCCCTCCTTAGCTCGTCCCTGTGTCAGTGGTCTGCTTTTTATCAAGCCAGCGACAGTGGCTTAATTTATTTCCATAGTTACCTAGTATATTTGAAAGCCAGTTCTCTTCCCTCACCAATCATAGCTAACATCTGAATGGCAAGGAGGAAGCCACGGGACACAAACTCTCCGTGAGATCTACGGGTGGGTCTATTTTTTTCTCTCGTTCAGCCAGTTGGTCTAAAGTGGGCTTTGCAGGAATAAGCAGTGACCTTTTCAGCTTCTCCGTGGACAGGGAAACCAGCTGTTGCAGAAAGCGAGCGCCTGCCCCAGACGCTGTTAGGAGGGTGTGTCGGAGCCTTCGCTTCTGAACTCAGAAGAAGCTGGCCGTAGCGTCGGGCATTTGTCACGGGAGCAAAGCCCCCACTTGAGCTGTGTGTCAGGGAACAGGGGGGACAACTAGGACAGTGAGAAACCCGTGACTCACGTAACTCCCAGCACACGTGTAATTGCTGGAAAAGACGGAGCCACGGGCTAACCCGGAGGATTTGATTTTGTTTACAAAATGACCGACAGTCAACTTCCCCGTGTATCCTGTGAGTTTGCTCCGTTTACTGAAGATGTTCCCTCACCTTTTAGGAGTGTGTTGGGCTCATGGAAGGGGCACCTCTTGTCCCTTCTGGCGATAGTTTGCACCCTCCTATGTGTCCTTGCTTTTGTCACTTACCACGCAGCGGGGAACTGAGGTCTAACAAGCCTGAGAGTGGAGCAGGCGAACTCTCCGTGGCAAAGGCGAACTAGTTTGTAACGTAAAGAAAAAGTATTGCTGGTCAGCGATGAATTAGGGAACATGAGGTCTCTCCACTGACCCCGTAGGAGTGTATATATAGTGACTACAACTTTTACTGCTTTGTACTTTTTTCTAGGGATTCAAAATAGGATTTTTAGTCTTATCCAATTGGACTAAACTGCTCCCTGCTGCTCTGAGGAGGATGGTCGTGGGCTGGGATGACTCACCAGGGGGTGACAGTGGGAGGTCTGGTTATGGGTTTACCACGTCGGGTCTGGCTCTGCTTAGCAATACTTGAATCGAGATGGCATTGAATTGAGAAAAGAGGCCGATTCATGTGTTTATGACTAATGGCAGCTGAGGTTCTGTCCGTTTAGGAGACATGATGGGGAAGGAGAAAGGGCACTGGGGATCTGCCCGTCACTCAATGTCCCCGGGGCCTTGGATGACTCGTTCTGAAGTGGGAACTCAGGGGGCTAAAAGAGGTCAAGGGTGCAGATCTGGGAGTGTTATCTTGCGTTGGGGCTGAGCTCACCGCCCAGCACTTTGCATGGGGCAGCCGCGCCAGTGGCTTGGCCAGCAGGGAAAGCGGAGGGCATGCGTGCCTGGCGAGGAGAAGGAAGCCGTGTCAGCCTTGGTGTCTGAAGCTCTGGCTTGCTGTGCAACCGTGCGTGAGCCACCCCATCTCTGAACCTTGCTTTCTCACCCAAGACGGGGGTTCGGACTGGCCAGCCTTGGAGTGTCCTTCCACATTTGCCATTTGGTTATCTTATACGTGCTTTAGTGAAGTTCCAAGGGAGTATTTTAAAGACAGTAGCTCTGGTGTGTTTTGAGAAAACACAGAGCCTGGGCCTGGGGGGAAGAATCCTCCGTGGGAACAGGGCCCTGCAGGTGCAGAGCTGTGCGGTTTTCAGAGGCACTGCGGACCTTCCGTCCCACTCACCCGATGTCAGCCCGTGTTCCTGCAACTGGTGTCCCCGCCAAAGGGCACACAAGCAGGACCAGGCACAGCTTAGATGCTGCAGTTACGCCTGTTGCCCTGAGTTTGGGGCAAGTTACTTAAAGTGGCTGAGCCTCAGTGTGGCCACCTGAAGAATGGGAATCCAGCCTGCTACCTCTCACAATTGCAGTGAGAATCACAGATGGCACTGTCCGCTGGTCCCCCACCAACAGTCTCAGGGAATGCTGGGGCTTCCTGGTAAGGAGGGCCCCCCCCCCCAGCTGTGTTCTGCCAGGTGATCTGGGATGGTGGTCAAGCTGCAGACTGGGCGTGTCACAGGTGGGCACAGGTAACCAGGTTCTTAGTGATCACGAACAATGAATTGAACAGAACACACAAAGATTGCAGCACAAAGAGAGAGAGCAGACCGATAAAGCGATAGTACATTTCACAGAACATGGGAGCGGGCCAAGTCTGAGCAGAGATTGACCTCAGGGGCTGGACGGGTCTATTCTTACAGGGTGGCTATTTCCTGGCTAGTTCTGGAGAGGGGGTTTTATCGCGCATGGAGACAGAGTTATATGACTTTCGAGCTACTGCACATGCAGTCTCCCATGATTTTCCTGGGTTGCCCGCTGGGAAAGGGGTCCCACAATGCTAATTTATTATGACACTATTACAATGAAGCAGGGGTCATGTAGCACCTTCTGCGCAGGTGCAGTCACGATTCACCATGACTCAGAACTTTTCCAGGGAGTGGAGCAGTGGGTCTTAGAACGGGATCTCTGTCCTGCATCGGTGACCTTTGTCCTAGCCCGGAGGCGTCTCAGGAGTTTTCTCATTCTGCAGGAGCCAGCCTCAGAACAGAGTGTCTGTTCCGTGTCTGTGTCCTTTGTCTTGATGCTGGCCCACCTCTGGAGTTTCCTCCTTCCTGACTGCCTCCTGCTTCAACTCGCCCCTGAGAGACATGGTTCTCAAAAACCTTATTGGGGTTGTTGAAGGGCAAAGATCATTCTTCCGTACCTTCTCCTGGCTTAGATGGGGCAGTTGTCCCTGCCTATTGAGAACCACAGAACTCTCGCCCTGATCTATCTAGAGCAGGGGTGTCCAACCTTTTGGCATCTCTGGGCCACACTGGAAGAAGAAGGGTTGTCTTGGGCTGCACATTAAATACACAAACACTAATGAAAACTGATGAGCAAGAAAAAGATTTTAAGTACATGTGCCATTTTGTGTTGGGCCGCATTCGTAACCATCCTGGGTCGCATGTGGCCCACGGGCCATGTCTCTGGTGAAAGAAATCCTAGTGGGTGTCAGCTGACAGAAATGTAAAAGACTTGAGAGGATCGCCCCAGTCTAGTTTTGCTTCTTTTCCTATGTTCAGTTCGGAGGTTCTGAGTCCCCTGGACACTACTTGCATAGTTCGTGGTCCTAGTGAGTTACCAGCCTGCAAAGCACTGTAGGGAGGGGACCACTCCAGCATCCTGTACTCCATCATCCTGAAGATCCCGGACGCACTGCTCTACCCAGGTAGCCTGGGTATGTTTCCGTCCCTGTATCCTCTACCTGCGCAGACCCTCATCTCCCTGGGAGCCTCCAGGCCTGGGGCAACGCAAGTGTCTTACCAGCGAAATAGTTTCTGACCCCGTAAGCCACCAAGAGGGGCACCAAGATGACCTTATTATAAAATGACTCTTTTCCAAATCATAAAGAGGACACTAGGGTATTCTTTTACCTGATTTTTCTAGAGCTTTAAGAAACTGTACCTGAGTCCGAAATTGCCCCAAAGGGACCTCAAGGAGTGTCTAAAGGCCACCCCTTCGTGCTGGTGGTGGATCTCATTGTGGGATGACGGCCTGAGAGGGGAAGTTAAAATACCCCTGTAGAAGCAAGGAAACCACTTTAGAATTTTACATTTGACTAATTGGGTAAGAGTGGCTCCGTGTGGCTGTTTCTGGTAACAAACGACCAGCAGGCGCCTGGTAAGTGGCTCTGGCCAACGTTGCTGTTTGCAGTGGTGGTATATACACGCTAAAGGCAGGAGTGGCTCATTCCTGCAACTATACTCAGCAGTGGGACCATTGATGACTCTGAAATAGATATTCTGGGTACGAACACAGTAGGAACCTTTCCTACACAACAGGCAAGTGGGGTACAGGCCCAGGTATAAAGGCCAACAGTCAGCCGCGGAGGACAAGCATGAGAGACTGTCTGTGGGCCTGATAGGAGGCTGCAGAAGGAAGTCCCAGCGCAGGCGAGGTGGTGACTGACACCCTGTACCTCACTTCCCTCCTGACTGTCTCCCGCCTCAGGTGTAGGTACCTCTGGCATTCCAACAGCTTTGACACAGGTATGGTCTCCCAGGCCGTGCGTGGGCAGTGGTGAGGAGCCCGTGTTTATCCAGGGCAGCTGCCAGTCTTGTCCTATGTCAGTCCTTCCCTCAGAAGCACAGTAGTCACTGAGCGGCGTAGACTGCCTGCCGGCTCATCTCTCTGAGCCCCCTGGACCCCTCCTTACTCAGAATGCACCCCGCAGTAGGTGCAGACCTGGGTTCATGCGCGGGCGCCTTTTGCTGCGTGAAGAGAGAGCACGGAGCCATCGGCTGCAAGCTGACAGAGACCAGAGAAGCAGCGTCTGATGGCCATCCGGACGACAGATCAGAGCACGGCCAGGGGAACTGTTGGAAAGGTTATGTTCAAAACCAGACATGCCCGCTGGCGACCTGGGGAGGTGGGGGAGTTTGCAAGGTACAGCCCTGGAATGGCCCGAGTGGAATTAGCCTGAGGACGCCAGCGTGTCCCTTCTCGGGCCTGCCTTTGCTCACGCGTGACATGGGAGGTGGTCGGCTGTCCTCAGCCGATCTTTGAGCTGATGGGTGGAGACGCTTGGAGAACTAAGTGATGGATACTACGGTTTTTTTTTCTTCAAGGCCGAGTGACTGGGGTTTAGGACTTTCTTGGTCTCGGATGCAGGGCTAGGGGAGCACGGGGGCTGGAGCTGCTCAGGGCTCTTCTGGGTGGACGCAGCCCTCGAGGAGGGCAGTGGCCCAGCCAGCTCCACGCTCCCTTTCTGGGCAGGGGGCCTGGGAAGCTGCCTTCACCCTCCTGCCCAACCCACAGGGCAGGGTCCCAGCTGTCAGCTTAATCAGCAGAAACAGAGGGGAAGGAAGGAGGAATGAGGGAGAAGATGAAATGTCTGAAGCACTGTCTCTGTTCTAGGTGCCCTGCTAGAAGTATACGTCCAAGTCTCAATTTGTATGTATGTATATACATATATGTGTACACATGTACATATGTATGTATGTACATGCGTATGTATAGAACATCTTGTTTCCTGTGCCTCTTAGACACAGTGCAGTTGTCTCTGTGGCCGGTCAAGTCACTTGATGCCCTTTCTGTAGCATCATGTGATTGCCGTTGTCCCTTCGGTGAAGCTCCAGCAAAGACAATAATTAAGGAAATAACTTTGGAAAATGATGGAAACAGGGCTGTCCATATATTTCGGCCGTGTCCTGGGTTACTTGCCAATATTGTGTTAACATTTGTTCTGGAGAAATGTCTGTTCAGAGTGGCAGCCCGCAGACGGATCCACATTCTAGGACAGTCAAACACCAAAAGGTCATGCAGGAAGCACCAACTGTATGAATTTTTAGAAAAGTTGACCAAACACTTAATCCGCCTGATCCCACAGGGGAAGCGGGAGAGACGGCGTGCAAAGCCTTAAGCAAACACAAAGCCTCGGCCTGACTTTCCTCGTGGTTTTGTCTTGCAGAATCGGCTACCCGATTCCCATGTTTGCGGGATTCTGCATCATGTTTGTCTCCACAATCAGTAAGTGTCTCGTGGGTGCCTTGGAGCCCGGGTCCCGGGACGGGCTCTGATGGCCACAAGTGGGGAGTTGGGAACACAGCTGGGGCGGGGGCAGGAGGGTTGGCAGAAACTGCAGAAAGAGGTGGACAGGGAGGGGTCTTGGTGGGCAGACAGAGCGTGCGGCTAATACGGACATGAAGCATCGGCTACGGGTCCCAGAGGCGCCTGCGCTGGCCTCGGTGGGACCGCAGTTTCGGCTGGCCCGCCCTGACGAGGCCCGGCCCCTTCTCCCCGCAGTGTTCGCCTTCTCCAGCAGCTACGCCTTCCTGCTGATCGCCAGGTCGCTACAGGGCATCGGCTCCTCCTGCTCCTCGGTGGCTGGTAGGTGTGGACATGCCCGAGTGAGTCAGTGCCCGGGGCTCTTCTGTCTGTGCAGGGGACCACTGGCACTGTCCCGCTGGCCTGCCCCGTGAGCCACTGGCTGGATCATGTAGGGAATCCAGTACTGGTGCTGGTGGCCCGTGGTGAGCTCTCGGAGAAGGTACCCACCTCCACGTTGGGCCCTGCTTGGTCTCGCGTTTTCATGAATCTGGCGGGGTTGGGAAGCTCGCAGGTCGGAGCTGGGGAGGGGAGGCGAGTCCCGGATCGTTCTGTCGGCTGACTTCTCTTTCCCTGTGCAGGGATGGGCATGCTTGCCAGCGTGTACACAGATGACGAAGAGAGAGGCAACGCCATGGGGATCGCCCTGGGCGGCCTGGCCATGGGGGTCTTAGGTGGGTGAAGCCCACGGTGGAGATAACCTGGGAGTCCGTCTGCCGCTAGGCAGGGACAGTCCCCTCCCCCCCGATTCCACGTGCACGCCGACAGATTCCCTCGCTGTCCCCTCTTACTGCCTCCTTTCCTGGAGCCTTTGAAAGATGGCGGGGCCTTCCTGACATGGGGGGACCTGGGCTCCACTGCCTCTACTCCCGAGCTTCCTGGGGATCCTTGGGAAGCCAACCCCGGACCTCCCGGGCCCAGATGTGAATTGCAGGCTGGAACAGGCTGGCCTTCCCAGACCCTTCCTCCCCTCTCACACTTTCTCTGAGTTGCCGCCCGAGAGGGCCTCCCCGCCTCCCGAGTCTGCCCTGCCCCCTCCCAGACTGGCCTCCCAGACCAGGGGCCAGCATCTCGCTTAAGAGGAGACCTGGATCCTCTCGCTCTTCTCTGTCGCACCCCTGGCCTTCCGACGGGAGCCCACGGCCCTGTCTGTGCCCACAAGGGAGGAAGTCCTCACTGCCCGGTTTCCGGGGTGCCTTCCGTGGCTGAGACCTTGCTTCCCTCTGATCTTTACTTTGCGGTGACCCTTAGAGTCTCTTGCCCATGTGCTAGACGTGCAATCGCTCGGAGGATGTTGCCGGGCCCACTCACACTACCAGATAGAACGTAGAGTGGCCGCCTCAATTAGCTTTTGGAACAAAACAGAGTGGAACACAAGAAACAAATGGAGGGGCCTGGTGGGGTGGGCTGGGTGCTGGCCCTAGGGCCTGACATGGTTCTCTTTCTCTTGCTTGCAGTGGGTCCCCCCTTTGGGAGTGTGCTCTACGAGTTTGTGGGGAAGGCGGCTCCGTTCCTGGTGCTGGCTGCCCTGGTGCTCTTGGATGGAGGTGAGTCCGCGTGGGGACCTCGGCCTTGGCCTGGGCATATATATTGACAGGGGTTTGGGGCCACGCCTTTTGTTTCTCTCTCATTGTAGCTATTCAGCTCTTCGTGCTCCAGCCATCCCGGGTGCAGCCAGAGGTAAGCCGCCGGGCGCGGAGGGCGCTGCACCGGCCGTGCTGACGCTTCTAACCCCTGTTTTCTCGACAGAGCCAGAAGGGGACGCCGCTGACCACCCTGCTGAGGGACCCCTACATCCTCATCGCTGCAGGTGGGGCTCCCCCCAGCCCCTGGTCCTTTCAGCCCAGAGGTGGGTCGGGCGGGCTGGATGGCGAGGACAAGTGTTTGTGTTGCTGCTGGAAGTGCTGGGCTGTGGAAAGCGTCAAAGGCACAGAGAGGGTCTGCCTACATCAGAAGTGGCTTTCTTCCGTCATCAGTTTCTGACGTGCAGCCAAGTTCCGGTGTTGCTTATCATTTGGGGCAGAGGTGTCTGAGTCATGGAGATGCCCTGCAGCAGAGGTTCGTTCGGGGTCAGCCTTGTCCCTGTGTGTGTGGCTGTTTGACCTTGAACTTCTGGAAGGAATTCATGGCCTCCCTGCAGGCGTCTCAGCTAGGGGTCTGATTCACCTTGACGCGCGCGATCAGACAGCCACAGCATAGCCCCCGAGGGCCACGAGGGCGCCTCCCTTTCTGCGGAGAGGGCGTCCTGTTCAGCTGCAGAGAGGCCGGGCTGGGAAGTGCCCTTGGGCTAAGAAAGTTCAGGACTTTGGGTTCTTGGCCCAGATGGGCTCAAAGGAAGCGGAGGGTCCCGTGGCTCTCAGGGAGGATCATGGCAGCATTCATCCAAGGGACTGTCCCCTAAGACCATCCCAGCGACACAGGTCTGGGCCGCCTAATGAGGGCCCAGCCTTATGCTGCTGGGGCCTGGATACCGTGGTCGGCAGCGCCCTTGGGGTCAGGCCGGGTGAGGGCAGCTTCTCCCCGGTTGGGGTTAGGTCTGTCCAAGCGGGAGGCGAGGACATGAGGTGGCTGGGGGAGCTGGGTGACATGGTGCCCAGGCCCTGCCTGAGGGTGTTCAAATTCAGCCTTTTTCCAAACCCCAGGATGGTTTTGTTTCAGCTTCTGCTGCAGGGTTTGGTCAGGTGGCCCTTCTGTGACTCTGGTGCAGGCCCTGGTCGTCCTGTCCTGCCCGTTGGACAGGTATGGTGACCTGTCCAACCTTGTGTGGTGACCTCTTCACATGGGGGAAGCTCTCTGTGTCCCCGATGATGCAGGGAGCGTTCCACAGCCCAGAGGCCCCTGGAGCCCTGACCCCAAGGTGTGGTGAGAGGCAGGGCCCAGAGATGTGACCGCCCGCACCAGGGGGCAGACACCTGGGTGGGTCGAGCCGCCTGGGCCCTCTGGCCTCTGCCTTTCTTTGTTCCTCACTGTTGTACCCTGTTCAAGGGAGAGGCCGAGATCCAGCCAGCTCCGAGTGGCAGCCTGCCAGCAGGCCCAGACAGCCTCGGCGGGGGCAGCTGGGGGCCAGGTGGTGTCTCATTGGCACCAGTGGGATTTCAGGTTATGGAGGTGACCGATGACTTCGAGAGATCAATACCATTGGAAGAAGATTTTATTACTTACCTTTCCCAAGGAAAGGGAGCATGTCACCTTACTTGGGGCCATGTGGGGAAGCCCCAGGTTTGGTCAGGAGGCAGAAAGGGGCAGGGGGAGGTCTAGGCCGGAGCCTTTACTGGAATTTTCATGGGAAATGCAAGGCAGAGCCGGGTAAACAGCTTAGTATTGGCTAGTTTAAGTAATCCCAGCAGTCTTTGGGGCCTGGGGCCTGTCTGGTTGCCTGAGTCCGCCCTGAGCAGACTTAGGGGAGGGGGGTAGTGGTTTGGTGTATCGGAGCTGGATAATGAGGGGTTCACGTGGGAGTTCTGGATCACGGGGGGACTGCAAACGGTGCGGCAGTTAGTTTGGCTCTATAATTAATATAAGTGAGACAGACAGACACAGAATCTAAGACAACACAGAACAGGTGGGTGAGCAGGTCTAGTCATTTCTGCATCATCTCTGTGTTCTGCCTTTAAATGTCAGAAAGAAAGAAAAAAAACTCTTCATTATGGGAGCACCTTCGTCACAATTGCACGATGTTCCTTCAATCAAGATTTTAGCAAATTAGCGGTTCCACAGGCACAGCACGGGAAGCTCTCAGAGTGATGGGAACAGTGCCCTGTGTCTTTTTCTAGATGGTTCTACATTGACAAAGGGTTCTGGTTAGCAGGGTGATAATGGACATTTGCAAGGAGACCCTATACGCATAGTTGACTTTAAGAAAATATCCCCAAACAGCACACCTGTACTGAGTGCACTGGATTTGGGGCTCTCCCAGGAGTTACTAGAAATATCTGTGTTCATTGCACAGTGAAACTTCAGAGTGGGAGCCCCCCTGCCCCACCCTGTCGCCCACATCAGTGTGTGGGCCGGAATGTCCGTGCTGCTGACCTCAAGCAAGTTCCCTCATCAGTGAGCTGGAGCTCCCTTTCCTTGTTAATGAATCAGGAGAGTTAAACCAAGTTATCTCTAAGGCTCCCTCTGGTTCCAAACCTTATGACTCTGGGAAGCTAGTTGTTTAAATAATAGGAATAATAAATGCACCCTCTTCACTACCCCTTTGATCTGTTATTTTTTTCTTACAAAAGCAGTGGGAGAAGTTCTGGGTATCCAGACGGATGGTTCTGGCTGTGGGCACGTGGGGTCTAACTGTGCTTGAAAATGGTAGGGAGCCCTGGAGACCCGGACCTGAAGCACATGGACCCTCTTGCTCCCTTTCAGGGTCCATCTGCTTTGCGAACATGGGGATCGCCATGCTGGAGCCGGCCCTGCCCATCTGGATGATGGAGACCATGTGTTCCTCAAAGTGGCAGCTGGGTAAGGACTGGGGCGGGCTCTTCCAATCCCAGAATTTGGGTCCCCAGGGTGGGCCTCACCGTCGTAGCCCGGCTGAACAGCGGGTACCAGGATGATGGTAAAGTGACTGTTTCGGTTTGACACCTAATGGGGTCAGTGCTCAGGATCGCAGTGAGCTTCAGGGTCCTCTTTTGGCTCTAGTTTCTGTATCTTCTGTGCCATCCTCGATGGATGCGGAATTCGCATGGAGGCATCAGACCCGGGCAGGAATCAGAGAGGGAGCACCCACGCAGCCTCTCCCCACGTATCCGAACCGCACCAGTTACATTAAATGCACACGGGCGTGTGACACGTGTCTGCGCTGCTGTTCTCCGTGTGGCCAGGCGGTTGTCCCAGTGCTCCTCCCATTCCCATGTCTGACTGCTGCCACCTCTGTCGGGCTCAGAATGACGTGTGTTCCTCTGTCCATTTCCAGGTCATCCTGTCCATATCATTTGTCTGTTAAGACTCCTGTGTCCATGCTCTCCTATGTACTGACTGTGCCTTTAGAATACTTACTGTCAGGAGGGCTCATCCCTGCACACACGCCCTTTCCTTTGGATGTTGATTATCCTTCCTAGAGATTGATTATTTTTCACAGTTCTTTCTTTTTTTTAACCAAGTTTTTACAGGATCTTTTTTTTTTTAAGAATTTTATTTATTTATTTTCAGAGAGGGATGGGAGGGAGAAAGAGAGAGAGAGAGAGAAACATCAATGTGTGGTTGCTGGGGGTACCCTGACTGGGAATCGAACCGGCGACACTTTAGTTCGCAGCCTGTGCTCAATCCACTGAGCTATGCCAGCCAGGGCCCACAGTTCTTTCAATGCAAATACCAGCATCTTCAGATGGAGACTCTCCGTTCTGAATCAAGGGGACATCTTTAGTGCCCCCAGCCCCCTCTGGCAGCCGTATCCCCCCTCCAATATCGGCCCTCTGCAGGGGCGCCCTGCCAGACGCTGCCTCCAGGGTCACACTTGTCCCTCTTCTTTCTGCCTCAAGATGGCTGGCCCGACCTGAGCACCCTCCTTTTGGCTTGTGCGTGGAATTGCTGTGTCCTTTCATCAGAGAGTCAGTAAAAAGCTCTGAGAGCCTGGAGGAGGGGGCACTGCTAGTGGACGTGAGGTTTCTTTTCGCCGTGAGAACAAGGTTCTGGAATTCGATCGTGGTGATGGTGGCACAACCCTGTGCATGCCCTCAACGTCAATGAGCTGTCCACTTTAAGAAGGTGGATTTTATGGTGTGGGGATTAGGTCACAAAACACACACACAAAAACAAGCCCCCGACTACAGCAGTCATTCAGCGAAGGAGGCAAGATTCCTGGAGCGAAGCGAAGGCTGGTTCTTAGACAGAAAACTTGGCTCTGAACTTCCTGGCTGTGGAGGCAGAGGACACCTGGAAGCCGAGAGAGAGAGAGAGAGAGAGAGAGCGTGTCACTTCGCAGGAGGACTCGTTCTAACCCCGAGTTAGCAGATAGCGATGCGATACTCTTCCTGTCTCATTCCCGGCCCCATGGAAGGTGTTTCTCCAGGTTTCCGCTCTCTCTCTGGTCTCTGTGGTGGTTTGGGCCCCCGGGCGTTTCCAGCAGGTGCCCTGTGCTTGGTGGCCCAAGGTGGGAGGGAGGGTCCTGCGCTGGCTTTGCCGTGCTCTTGGGCTGAGATGCTCTGCTGACCTTCCGATGGCTTCACTTAATGGACTCATCACCCTAATTGAATGCATCAGGCCCTGTGTGGGGCACTTAAGCTGCTTTGTCCTCTTCCTCTCCAGACACAGCCTGAAGCTTTCTTTATAAAATCTTTAAAGTCAGTCTGAGCCCCCTGGGTCATCTGGACTGGGTGGCAGGCTGCAGGCCACCTCAGTTTCCTCTGGTGGGGCTTGTCACCCCAGCCAGACCGTCCCCTTTCCACCCCGTTCTTGCCTCTTGGGTCTCTTCAAGAGAGTCACTTTTCTCTACCTGTCCTGTGTCCTCTGCATGGGGAAGCCTGTCACCTCATGCACTGTCTGTAGCTTGTGGCTCACCCCTGCTGGCACCTCTCAGGCCCCTCTGAGCCTTCGTGAGGAGGGCACCCTGGGTGACACGACGCAAGGACCGTCCCCCTGAGTCGAGGACCCAGGGCCAAGCGGCACAGCCCTGCCTCCGAGGCCCCTGAGGCTTGGCCCCTCCCCAGTCAGGGTCCTGTGTGAGCCCGAGGGAAGCCTGTCTGCCCAGTGGCTCCCCTACGCCTGGGAGTCAGAGGAGAACAGTCTCACGAGCTGCATGCATGACTCGAGACGGCTCTCGCCGAATGCTCCTAGAACCTCCCATCTTGAAGCCAGACTGGGCTGGGAGGCTCGGCCTTCTGGAGGTTTGATGGCTTTCATTGCTTGTGGAGGCGCAGTGACAGGCCAGAGCACCCTGGGAGGGGCACCCACACCGCCTGTCTGTGTGCCGAGAGCCGTCTGGACGAGGAAGGCCTCAGTCCTGCGCGTGCTGAGGGCGGTGAGCACCTGCCGACCATCTAGCACCGACCACGCGTGTCTGATTGATGCGCTCAGATGGCTGATAACAAAGCAGCTGTCGCCGTTTGTGGGCAAGGCTCAGAACCACACCTGGTGTATCTGATTTCAAGGAAACAAAAACACTAGGATTTTGAACACACAGAGTTCGCAAGGCCGGCCATCTTTCAGAAAGAGAGGGCCCTGTTGTCCTAATAACAAATAGGGCCCAGAGAGAGCCGACGTGGGTGAGTCCCCTGGCAGCCAGGGCTTAGGGCTGCCTTGAGCAGACCTCTGTCCACTGCAGAGGTCATGGGCAAGGCCGCCTCAGCCGTTGCGAGGTCCCTGTCCTGGGAGAGTGCTCCACCTTGGACATGAACATTTCCGTCACCTGTGACTCGGCCACAAAAATGACCACACAGACATTTTGTGTCTGACAGGGAAGGTGTTCTTAAAGCTAGGTGAAAAAAGCAGGATGTAGAACACTAGGTATAATCCCATCTTTTAGGAAAAAAACAAACAAAATCCTTTGTGCACACGTGTTATTTCCCTTATGAGAGAAAAGAACTGTGGTGATGATCCGAGTGACAGGGTTTGGGGTTTGTTTCCGCTTTCCTCTTTGTCCTTATCTTAACGTTCCCTAATTTTTCCACGCCTGTGGTCTGCCGTCCTACAAATAACGAAGGGGGAGAGGGCAGGCAGAGACGCCGCGCGGGCGTGCGGGCTGGCAGGTGCCCTGCTCGGGCGTCCGTGTGTGCGGGAAGCTGGCCACCGGGCGGAGACGGGGGGCGAGATGGAGCCGCTGATAGAGAGATGAATTTCACGTCTGGAGTGTCTCCGCAGCCTCGTGCGACGGATGAGCCCTGCGGGGCCGGCCTGGCTCGGGCAGCTGCCGGATATTAGCTGCCCGGGTGCCGGCCGCAGGGCTGCGTTTCATCTGCTCGGATCGCCGCTGCGGTGGCTGCAATTATTAGTTTTCCTAACACTTGACTGATGCCAGCCCTGATACGGTGTCCTTTTCATCAATCCACAGGCGTGGCTTTCTTGCCGGCTAGTGTCTCTTATCTCATCGGAACCAATGTTTTTGGGATCCTCGCGCACAAAATGGGGAGGTAAGATGAAAAGAACGCTCACTCTCTTACAATACTGTCAGTCTTTGCCAAAGACATTACTCTGTGTTTCTGCTTCGGCTGTCACGAGTCATTGTTCTGATTCCCATTGAAAATTTGGACCGGGGGAAGAAAAGGGACAGTCACTTCTTGATGGTGCTGTTTTGTTTCTCGGCAGGTGGCTTTGTGCCCTCCTGGGAATGGTGATCGTCGGAGTCAGCATTTTATGTGTGAGTATAGGGCAGCCCTGGACCAGTGCAGACCGTCAGGAAATTACACTTCTGCTCTGGGCGCGAAGCACCGAGAAGTATCTTTCAGCAGTTTGAAGCTTGTCGATGCTGAGTTTTAGCACATCTTTCATTTTTCTTCTCGTTTTTTTTTTATCCTCTTAAACATTTCGAGCAAGGGTGTCCAAGAGCTACATTTTCATTTCATGTCAGTGGGAAGCTATTTACAAGGTTCTCGGAGGTGGTTGTACTGCACCCATCCCAAACATTGATCTCAAATGTTACAAAGTTTAAACACTGTGGGGTGACGATCCCGGACACAACAGCAAGATGTTTTGCTACAATAAAACATCTTCTACCGATGGCCACAATCTACCCCGAAAGCGGTCTTCGGGCCCGTGTCAGAAATGGAGGCCGATCTTTCACACGCGGGAGCTGAGCAGTTTCTCGTGGTGCCTGCCCACGCAGACCCTGTTCCAGCTTCAGCTGGGAGGCTTTGGAGGGTCGGCTCTCCCCAGGCCCGTTCTCCTTCCTGTTTCTTTCCGAAGGGAACATGCACACCTGGGTGGAGAGGACACGTTTCTCAGACGTCCCCAGATGTTTTAGAGTTGGGTATCCTGTTATTTACTGTAACGTTTACTTCCTCTTACAGATTCCTTTTGCAAAAAGCATTTACGGACTCATAGCTCCCAACTTCGGAGTTGGTTTTGCAATTGGTAAGCCCCGGGAGCCTCGTGCCTCCCATTTAAAGCTGCTTTGCCGTTACTAAAAAGATTTCCTCTTACTCGGGCAGACCATAATTACTCCACCTAGAATGCTGGAAGCGTGAGAGGAGGCTGTGGGCCACCAGGCTCCGGTACAGCCTGTAGACTGTCCACGGAAAGACGCCTTGCTTCCGAGTACTAGTCATCTGTTTTCTGAAAACCAGCATTTGGAAAAGCCTGATATTTGTAGACGCAAGCAGATGCTCCACTGCTGTGCGTGGGCAAACAAGAGTCCCCACTCAGAGCGCGTTGTCTGGGCTCAGGTCTGCGAACTGAAGACCTCCGCAGAGGAGGCAGAGGGACCAGGACTTTGCATGTAGTTTTTACAGAGTTCGGCACAGAAAAGGCGGGCCGACGTAGCAATGACCAGCTGTGCTGCAGGAATGTTCACGGGCAGAGGAGATAGGTCTCTGTAACTTGAGGAACAAGAATATGTTAGGAAAAAGTCTGTTAGTATTTTGGATAAATAGTGCATGCCGGGGTCCCGCCTCGGCGGGGCCTCAGGGTCCCCGAGGGATGCGCACGGCTCAGGCGAAGCGAATGAAGCGAGACACCAAGTGGGGTGCCCGAGGACAGCCCAGCTCTCTGGGCCTGACTGACTCCCCGAGAAAAATCAGTCTTTATTTTTATAGGGGAGGTTATACAACATTCAATGCATAGTGTGATTATTAAAACAGAAACGGTTACCATAGAAATAATTTCAAAAAACACAGAAGGGTTTACAGATCAATCATGTTAAAGAAATAACCGAAAAGTACAGGAGGTTCCACAGATCAACCATATTAAACAAAGGTTATTTCGCCCAAGAGGGTCATTAATCAGATAGCCAACGAAGCTATACGGGCACAAACTTTCAGGTGCCAATTAGTAACTAGGTGTCTATTAAGATTCTAGGGATTGGTCTAAATTGAAAAGGTGCAAGGGGTGATTTATAGATTATATAGAAATTAGCTACTGTCCATTGGGGTTAGGTTTGTCTCGGTTAGGTAACTGTTTTTTTTGCCTAGGTGTTTTGATTTCTACATCTTGGGGGGGCCATGTTTTATATTCATTTCCATGTATTGAGATTATTATTTCCAACTAGAATTCCTTGCTTCTTTACACTCCTGTCCAGGGTGTGGGAGGGGTAGTGGTTCTAATAAATCTTAAGCTTTTGAGTGGTGACTCTCTAAGAAACATTCCTAGCAACAGCTTCCTTTGGCGTTCTGGCAGTGGGTCTGCCCATAGTTTAATTTTGTCCTCAACTTCCCAGGTGGGGGAAGCAGGCAGCATTAGGGTTGCTAGGGGTCTCTATTCTGTGGTCAGTATGTCATTTCGTGCAGAATCAGAGGCATCGTGCAGATTTTTTGTTATAACACACAGGTATCCCAAAACCCCACCCCCTATTGCTAGCAGGGACAGGCCTGCAGGAGGAGATAGACAGGAGGTCCGGCCACAGTCACCTCTGCTGTGCAGGTGCGTCTCATCCCACCTGTGTCAAGGGTCGGCTGTTGGTCGGGTCCTGACAAGTGCACGTTTGTTTCTCATTTAGAACACACAGGTGGGTTATGACACAAGTAAACGCTGAGTCTGTTGCAGGCAAGGGCAGGAATTTAGCCTTGGGTCCAGCAGAAAGAAAGAGTGGAGCCTTTGCTGAGCCCCTGGGCCAGGTTAGGTCCCCCCCGCATATCTGTGTCCTCTCACGCACCTCCGAGGCATCAGTCACGACTGCAATTCACTTTCAACCCTTTGCTTAACGCCCGCCTTGCCTCTTCTCCCCTGTGTCCCCACATCTTGCACGTACCGAGTGATCAGCGAATACTAGATGAACGAAAGACATTTCCCTCTTGTTCCTGCCCCGAGGACTGGGTCGGGGGAGAGAAGTCACATCTGAGTGCCTTACGGGGTGTGTTCACAGACGTGGTCTCGTGGTAGCCCGTCCTTTCCGTCCCCATCCGACAGGTGGGAAGCCGATGTTCTGAGAGATAAGGCGTGACTGGGCTCGGGAAGCCAGGGATTTTGGCCCAGAATTCTGAACACACACGCTCTTCCTTCATGCTTCCTGTCCCCAACTATTGTCTAGAGACCAGCATCCATAATCTCGGTTTGGGAGGTGGTGGCTCTGTGTTCCTCCAGTAATGAGCAAACCTTTTTGGGTTTTAGTTTCATGAATAGGGTGGGTTGGTCCTTCAGACTCCCTCCTGTTCTGGTTCCTTGTGATCCTCCCAACTGTGTGAGGCCAAGGTGTGGATGGGGAGGAGACTGTGTGAGGCCTATAGGTGTGTCCGTTTTTGAGGGCAAGGGACAGGTGTACCAGAGATTAGCGAATCAGGACAGCGGCAACAGGAAGCAGGAGAGGGTCGGCATGGCCAGTAACCAGCAACCCGCTGGGTCAGGAGAAGGCGGTGGGTCAGCAGAGGACTGAGTGACCACCAGAGGGCAGACCTTCCAGACAGGGAGGCCCAGGCGCGGAGAGACAGAGCAGGCAAATGGTGGCCCGGGTTCCAGTCCCGGTCTCAGCTGCCTACAGTCGGCCTTCAGTGAAAGGTGTGCTGCTCTAGGGCAGGGGCCCCCAACCCCCGGACCCGTGTGGGCCACACAGCAGGAGGTGAGTGGCGGGTGAGCAAGCAAAGCTTCGCTCTCATGACCGCCTGAGTCCTGCCTCCTGTCTTCCCCCCACCACCCCCCAACCCATCCTTGGATAAATTGTTTTCCACAAAACTGGTCCCTGGTGCCAAAAAGGTTGGGGACCCCACTACTCTAGGGAGTCTGCCTCAAGAGTCGCAGGTGGCGAAGACAGAGAGGCACCTGGGCTGTGAGGTTAGGACACGGTCCTGACATCCATCCCATCTTCAGTTGATGACAGCTTTCTACACACCGTGTTCCCTGACCCCACAGGCATGGTGGACTCATCAATGATGCCCATCATGGGCTACCTGGTCGACCTGCGGCACGTGTCGGTCTACGGGAGTGTGTATGCCATAGCGGATGTGGCCTTCTGTATGGGATACGCTATCGGTGAGGATGTTGGCTTTACAAACCCACCTTTTCTGTGAATGCACGGCAGAGAATGCCTACGGAGAATGATTTAAACCTTTGTGTCTTCCTATGTGCGAGACATTTGCCGAGAGCTTTATCTAATTCTCCGTTTCCTGCAAGGTCCTTCCGCTGGTGGGGCTATCGCCAAGGCAATTGGATTTCCGTGGCTTATGACAATTATTGGAATAATTGATATTCTTTTCGCTCCTCTCTGCTATTTCCTTCGAAGTCCACCTGCCAAGGAAGAAAAAATGGTAAGAACACTTTAGGGCGTATTGAAGTGTTTCTTGATCATTTTAGCGTGGTCTTTTGGATAGTTTCACTGTGGCTTAATTCTGAAATATATTTCTGCTCCTTTGGGGCAGAGCTCTCCAAACATAAATCATAAGGGTTTTCTTTTGGTTCATACCGCATAGGGCAGCTACTTGTTTTTTTATTATATCAACCACTATGTTTATAAATTTGAAGAATAAAATTATTTTGGGGCATAGATTAGCAGTCATTATTTTGTCAATGAAATATATACATGGGATAGCATAATTTTCTATGGCTCCTGAAAATCATGACTATAAGTATATATATGTGTGTGTGTGTGTATATGTGTATATATATATGTATATATGTGTGTGTGTGTGTGTATCTCCTCCTGTGCTTACTCTAAGGTTAGCCATTGTTTGGTGCTGTTTGCTTTTTTCCCGACCCTTACAGCTCTTGGTAATAGTGTCTCAGTCTTTGCCACACAGGACTCTGGAGGTGGTTTTAGTGTGGGTAACAGACCCTTGTGGGAGAATATTGTATATGCAGCTGTGGGCACACGTGAGCACACATAACCTTGACATGCATAATTTCGTGCAGAGTCATAGCTTGAGGCAGGACAGAACATAAAGTGTTCCTCTTTTGAGCACATGCAAGCTTATCGATCCTAAATCTGAGTTTTGAAATGCCTCAGCCATTTTAACCTTTCTGATAAGCACTCATAGCTGGAGGTGGTGGGAGTTGCTGATTTTTTTTAAAAACATCAAATGGTGATAGACACTCCTCCAGCGGAAAGGGGGCTTTAGATGAGGAGTGGCCGAGAGGAAGGCGGCGAGGGGAGGAGGCATTGCTGGCTCATCAGTGGGCGTGAAGCCCCCTGGTGGTGCTCTCCTGGGAGCGCCGCCCACGTTCTTGCTGACGGTTGCACCCACATGGGTCTTGATGCTGTGGTGGTTCTTCAACTGCCCTTCTGTGATTTCCCCCCAAAATAGTGGCTTCAAAGACGGGCACAGGCCCTGAAATGAGGTTACCTGCAGCTTGTTTGTCGGAGGCATTTTTGGCATTTGTGAATCTGTTCAGTATTTGGGAACTCTACCCAGCACTGTGCCCTTTACCACGTGGGATTTAACGAGATCGTTTTGAGTGACTCATGACCCATTTGACTCAGAGAAGAGACTGGAGACGTCCCGATGGAGGTCACCTTGTTCTCCCTGCCCCTTGCTTAGGTAGCTGCCTCTCCGTATTGCTGTAGTGTACGTCTCTTGGGGGCTAACCCGTTTTCCGGCCCGTTTGTCTGAGTTCCTTTCTGTCTTTGTTGGACCCCAGCATAGTACCTGGCCCAAATCAGGGTGAGGAAATCAGCTCAGTGCAACAGCTGGAACCTGGCATGCTGTTGCCACGACATCAATGTGACTGAGGCTGATCACCTACGAATGCCTCAGTCACACAGGAGACTGTTTAAGACCGTCGAGAGATAGTGCAGGGCTGGCACGGGCCCTGGGCCAGGACTGTCACGTGGGGAATGTGATGGCTATTTTATAGGGTTGCTGGGAGGATTAAATGAAAGGAAGAATCCCTACAGAGAATTTAGCCCATGTCTGACACACAGTAGATGCTCAAGAATTCTTGCTCTTGCCTAAATATCCAACTTTACTCTGTCAGCCCAGCTAATGAGTGGTCAGTCCCCTGTTTCATCCTCCCCTCCTTCCCCCTGTGAGGTGAGAGCTTCTTTTTGCTGTTTGGACCCCAGAACTGCTGAATGGGTTTCCCTAGCCAAGGCAGTGGGCGTTAGCCAGGGCCTGTTGTGTTATCTGTCATTTGGCAGCACGATGGCTTATCAGAGGGACCAGAGGAAATGGTGACCTCAGAGGACGAGGGAGGGTGGGGGTGGGGGGTAAGCCCGTCCAACCAGCTACGGTTCAGAGATCTGCAACAGAATGGCAGAGGCTGGCCCTGGCCGTGTTGCTTCTTCCACACTTAACCCAGTGCTTTTGTTCATTGAAAAAGAAAAGCGCTGAAGGAAGTCAGGGAGACAATCCGGAAAGGCAAAGAAACAATCATTACAGGCTCCAGAAAGCCGCTTTCACCGTGAAATGTCAGACTCCTTAATATGTGCCTAGCAAGATGAATCATTAAAAACTGGGGAAAAAGTGCATCTGGCTGCACTTTCATCGATGCCACCATCGAAGGCATCGCATCAGATGCCATCTGTGGGCATGCTAGCAACATCTGAGGGCAGCGGCCAGTAGCTGCTGCCTACTCACTGTGCAAACTGATAGCACCTAATGGTCAGCGGGGCTGAGGGCGAGACAGTGGGTGCTGCGCAGAGAAGTTATCGATTACTGCCCATTCGAGTGTCAGCATTCAGGACCAGCCGTTACCCAAGGCAGGGGGACATGAGCGCCGTAATAAGTACGAATCTTAGCAAATAATTCTGTCACCAGGCAGCATTCTGGTAGTGTTGTGTCTGGACTTAGGCTATTTTATATTGAACGGTCTAATGCCATTTTCTTTTTCATTTTCTTTTTTTTTAAAGATTTTATTTATTTTTAGAGAGGGAAGGGAGGGAGAAAGAGAGAGAAACATCAATGTGTGGTTGTTGGGGGCCATGGCCTACAACCCAGGTATGTGGCCTGACTGGGAATCGAACCTGAGACACTTTGGTTCACAGCCTGCGCTCAATCCACTGAGCTACGCCAGCCAGGGCCTAATGCCATTTTCATAAACCCCCAAGTCATACACTCAGGAGCTGTTTTGCAAGCATGTGAGTTTTTCCATTTGGTTCACTGGATGTATGTTTTTGGTTTTTGAACAAATAATCAGGGTCGAGGTAGCAATACAGGTGGAGAGAAGTAACCTGTTACAGAAGCCCCTCAGCAAGTATAAGAAATATCCACACAGGCATTTGAGGAAAACTGTTCTAGTTATTCTGAGACAGTTAACGTGCTGCTGCAACTCGCAGAAGACCTAGCTGAGAACAGCTGTGTTCTGGCCTGGATGTGTTTTTCAGGTTGAAGAATTAGTTTTCAAGAGAGGGCACATGTCTTACATCTTACTCGTGAAGTTTCTCATTGTTGCCCAGACGGGAAAGCAGGTGGTTTGAGGATTGTAGCTTTATTTTCTGGAGGCTCTGAGCTCCTTCCCGCTGTTTTCTGGGTGCCGCCGTGGGTCGGGCAGGGACGGGGCCACCAGAAGCCAAGCAGACTGCACATGGTAGTCTGTCGAAAGAAATGTGTCCCTTTGTAGGACACGTACACAGTGGATGCAAAACCATCACTATTTTGTTTGATGGGGTACATAAAGCTTTTGTAGCATGCAGGCCTGGTATTTTTCTAGGTCTTACATCCTGGAACTCTTGCATTTAATGCTTTTACCATTACTGTCCCGGCTTCCTATTTGCATTATCTTTACACGTCATTTGGTTCAACGTGTTTTCATCGCTTCAGAGATCTGAGCTCAAAGGGCGACCTCTTCCTTTTAGTTTCTCTTCCGTGGCGAGTCCAACACACCTTTCTCCCTACCGCAGGGTGCTGGGTGCTGGCTTAAATTACCAAGCTGCTCACGGCCACGCTGTAGCGACCCTCACGCACTTGACTTACCCACTCGACCCTGGTCATGCCTTGCTTTTCAAGGCACTTTTGGAATGCTACGTGCCACCTGGCTTATTCAATCAGGTATAACTTAAAGAAAAAAGCCCGTTTTACAATACCTCTTTCAAAAGAGGTTCAGAAGCCAGTAAGCTAGGTTTTAAGAGTGAAAGAACAATATTTCAAGGAAGAAAACTTCTCTACCTGGAATAAGGCTGTGTGGTTTGGTTGAACTAGTGAATTCGCCATTTAAATCTGCCTGGTGTCGGTTGGTCTGACTGAACTGGTTTCCTCGCTATATGGTTTGTGTCTGTATTATGTGTCCCGTGCTCAGATCCGGGGGTCGGTGAGAAGTGCACACAGATGTACCGTCAGGTCTCATGGAGGAGCGATGGCCGTCCTTTCCAAGGCCACCCTGCTACCTTGGGCCAAGGGTCGAGTCCCTGAGCCTGGCATTCAAGGACCTCCATTCTGGTTCCAATCAGGCTTTCCTATGACTGTCCCTCTGTGCCTGATTGTTAGATCTCTGTGGTGGCAAGACTGGCTTCTGGTGTCCCTATTTGCCTTCAGGTCCCATTTGGTACACAACCCGGTCTGTGCTCATCCCCACCTGCCTCACGGTGCCAGTTCTTTCCCTCGTTCCGGGTTCAGCTCCACCCTCGTCTGTCCCAGGCAGCCTCCTGAGCACTGGACCCTGAGCAGTGAGCGCCCTGCCTGTGAACCCCTCGGAGCCTGCCCAGCCCCGAGCAGCGAGGTAGCTAAGGTGCTGGTGTAGGACCTGCAGGGCCCTGACCCACAGGCCAGCAGGGGCCCCTGAAGCTGCTGCCAGCTGTGCGACTCTGCTGTTAGCTGTGCGACCCTGCCGCAGCCCAGACGGCCTCACGCAAGTAGGGCAGCGCTTCTCTCGGTACATCGACACCACTCTCATGGGAGAGTAGGGGCCTGAAGTTCACTCTTCCCCTGTGTGTCCCCCCAGAGTGGTTCCTGGCCACGTTTCTTTGAGGACCATTAGTGTAGGGAGCTGAGACCTTGAGCCCTTTGGAGGATAATTAAGCCCTTTGGCAACAAGGGGAGGATGGTCCTGGCACAAACCATGTTGATGGCCCCAGTTACTTATTTTTATAAACTGATCCTTTATTAAACATGTATCAGTTCGCTTGGGAAGGAGCAGGATAAGAACAACGGAGCTAAGTCTGCAGCTGAGGAGTGGAGCTGGCGGCCTCACGCGGAGGGCCCAGGAAGCCCTTACTTTACCCCGAAGCTGTCTCGGGAAACAAGAGGGGTGTGAAGCGCTGAGTGGGGCCAGAGCAGCGGACCCGACCCGACCCGACCCGACCCGAGGGACGGGAACTGGGAGGAGGAGCGGACCAGCCCCGAGCGAGCGAGGCTGCGGCAGGCCGGAGTGGGATATGTTTTAACCCACGTGACGGTGCCCAACAGATTTTCAAACCTCAGACAGGTGTGAGGAGAACAGCTCACGTGGAAGGAAGCTCCGGAAGACGTAACCTGACAGGAGAACTCACTTTAGTTGCACCCAGTGTCCCCCGCTGTCCCCCGCGCTCCTGATGGGACCACGGCACTCCGAGGTGGCGCTGGCCTAGGCTATCTGGCCTCACGTCCCCCCCACTCTAGCTGGACGCCCCCTGGACAAGTTCTTTAACCTCAGTGCCGAGGGGATGGGTTACCAGCCCCCACGTGGGGTGACTGTTGAGGGATTTCATGGAAAAGGCTTAGCACGGGCCTGGCCGATACGCATCAGCTGTGTGGTCAGCCCAGGCCGGGCCTGCGTACTTTCGGGAGGAGTGATGACTCAGGTGCTGATCATTTGAATATCAATTAACCATTTTTTTTTTTTGCTTAATGTTCAGTAACAAGGGAAAGGCACAAGATTTTTATGTTCACAAGAGGAATGTGTTTTGTTTTAAGTCATACATTTAAGCAAGAGGTGGGCAGCCAGGAATTGGGGAGAGGTGCTCTTAAGTGCCAGCTATGAAAAGGGCCACGTGACGTTTAGTCTAGGGAAACCTAAGGGGCTACAGCAGTGGTCTTAAACTATCGCGAGGGCAGTCCGTGAGGACGGCTGAAATCAGAACCTGATCCACAAAACAACGGAGACAGGTCCTGGTCCAGCCTCAGGTAGGTTTCTAGCGTTGGAGCCCACCTCATGAAGCAGGTTGTTGCCACAATGACATCTGTAAGCAGAAGCTGGATTAGGTGATCTCCAGGGACCACCCCGTTCCCCAGTTCGAAGATTCTGAGCGTAACTCTTCCTAAACCTAACCTGCATGCTCCTTTCTTCAGAGTTTACAGGCTCCCCCGAAATGACTAACGGCCCCTGGCGGGTATAATGAAAATACTGGGCAGACTACTTCTGCTGTATCCCATTGCCTGAAATTCTCCCTGAGTGTGGGATTACAGGTGTGCTGGGCCAGGCCCCTGCAGCTGCACCAAGTGGCTGGTCAATAGTGGCTGGTTCTTTCTCTCTCTCTCTCCCTTCCTTCCTCTTTCCTCCTTCTTTCCTTTTCTCTTCCTTTCCTCCTTCCTTCCCTCCCTCCCTCCATTCTTTCATCTACACACACGTGATCCTTAAAAGCAGTACGTTAAAACCACCTCATCTTTACGAAACGGGAAGTTAATGTATCTGCACTTTGTTCTCTTGCAGGCGATTCTCATGGACCACAACTGCCCCATTAAAACAAAAATGTACACTCAGAATAGTCTGCAGTCGTATCCGCTAGGTGAAGAAGAAGGCGAAAGTGACTGAGATCCTCAAAAGTCATCACAGTATTTAATTGTGTAAAAGTGTTTCCAGTGAAATGACTCATCCAGAATCGTCTTCGTCGCCCCATTCGTCCCTGGTGAGAGAGGAAACCACCGGAGCTTATCCTTTCTTTTCCATGGTTGTGATTGATCGCCAATAGCCCTTATAAAGAAAAAGCAGCTTTTCTAGGGGTTTGTATAAAGTGTTGAAAACTTTATTTTATGTATTTGGCTTTATTAAATACTATACAATATATTTTGACGAAATATAGTGTAAATCTATAAATACTTGAATCCAAATCAGATATAATTTTTTAACTTACATTCACAAACACTTGGGCAAGAAAAAAAATCGTATATTTTTTCTGAATATTGGTGATGAGTGTTTCAAACTAAAGCACACATTATCTCCGAAATGCTTCCAGCAGTAAGAAACTGGAAGGGAGTCTGCAAAAGAGAATCAAGTACAACAGCACATGATTACGTAGTGACACCGAGTGCGGAGATACTCAGTTCATAATTATTAGTATACTCATGAGTTAGAGGCCAGTTCTCTCAAGCACAGAAGACAAGAACTTGTCAGTTAACTCGTGGGTTTACAAATAAACCTTAGCTGGCACTGGTTGTCTCTGTCATTGCCTACCGGGAAACAGCTGGTTATAAATTATGTTTACATGTAAACATAATTTATATTGGAAGCAAACATTCAACTCAGTGGGGGAAAGAAACAGTGCATGTTCTGAAAGCAGAGCAAAGCACCCAAATTAAGTCTTGAACAACTCAAAGCTTTCCCTTTAAGATACATACTTGATTACCTTGCTGGATGGAAGAACACTGAGGGTAGACGTACCTCATACTGTCAAAGTCGTTTACAATACGAGGCGGCCAGCTGCCGTGACAGAACAGGTCGGACTGTGCCATCTCGGATCTGTTTGGGGGTCATCCAAGTGTTTTCTAGGCATCTGTTAATTTTGAGTTGTCTGCAACTACCCTTTCCTAGACTCTGGACGTTGTTCACATCGATGTGAAAAAGGTTTAAAGATGAAGAAGGGATGAGACATTATGTCTTGAATCATGTTAGGAAAACAGGTAAAGGTAATAGGGTGGTCAAGACACACCCCCTTCTGCAGGCAGGGAGAAACCCAAACATCTAGAAACATCTATGTATTACCCTATCGTCTGCTGCTGTGCAACGTGGTGTTTCCAGGCATGACGTGGATGTATGTGCCTTTCCAGTGTAACGACAAGTACCGTGTTAGTGAACATCGTCGTGTCTCCATCCAAGTTTGTATGAGGTGACTGCCGTGTGACCCCGGTGTGGAGCGTCTCCAGGACTGCCCGTGGCTTCTGTAGTTCTGCCAGGGCACACAAAGATCACCCGCGGGCGGTTCTCTTACGTAAGCCAAGACCGTGTTGACTTGGATGAGGAGCCAAGGACTTTTTAGCACAAGGACCCTTCAGCCCTTTAATTCTCTGGAGAAGTGAGCTCATCCTTCCGTCCCATTTGCTTTAGGAAGCTTTTCTGTGGGGCTTTGAATGACCTGAAGCCTGCTGTCGGGGGCAGGGTGGTGGGAGCTAGCAAGCTTCCCGCTCACGGATTTCCACCGGCAACTGCCAGCAGCGCGCTGCTCTGGGACGCAGTCTGCAGGCATGCGCGGAAGGGGGCTCCCGGGCAGGTGGCTCCCTCCTGTCGGGGAGAGCCTCAGGAACCAACGTGCGACCAGTCAGTCCTCCTGGAGGGTCTGTGGGTCTCCCTGCCCGGATACCTTATTGTTTGTTCCTGCTTCAGTTTGGCCTCGAAGGCTTCAGCCTCTTCAGGAACACCTGGTAAAGGCATGCCTGCTACTGGTTCCTAGAGATAACATAAAAGATTGGTGGAGTTTTTCAGGACTGCTTTAGGAGCAAAAGTTATTAGCTGAGAGGGAAAAAGGAATTGTAGGGTCTTCAGCGTGGCTAATATTCTGGGATTAGCTAAGACTGAAAAGAGAGGTTTTAGGGAAAAAAAAATGTCCAAACAAAATACAGCTGAGGATGTCTTTCTGAGCAGAGGTGGTTTTTATGTGTGCGCCTGGCAAACAGGTAGAAAAGCCTGAATGGGGCAGCCACGACCATTCCGTTCTTTCCTTTGGTTGCCGAGTGTACCTAAGTCACGTTCTAGCTGTTCACCGAATAAACCTCCTGGACACCACCGTGCCTATTTGTGCTCCTTTACACACCAGACATCCCCGCTGGAACCGGACACATGACCGGGTGTCATGGACTGTTGACGTTTCATTAAAAACTGTCCTCCACTGCTTGCGGGTATCGGGTAAAATCCACTCCACATTAGTTTGAATAATGCTTTAAATTAAAATAGGTAACGAGTCATGTGTCGTCAGTGTGGGAAAACTCAGTAAGTTATCCTTGTATCTCTAAAAAATATTTTCCTGGTTGCTGTAGAGAAACACATCTGGTAAAGTGAACTAAACTATGCAGCCATTTGAGAGAGTGGGCCCTTGAAGTTCCGTAAAACTTACGGTGTGCGTGTGTGTGCGTGTGTGCCTTGTAGGGCTAAGAGCCTAGTTTTAATCAAATCTTCAAAGGGGACCCTCCCCCCATAAAAGCAAAACTATTATCTCCATTTAGAGAAACACAATACACTTTTTAAAATTAAGGTGACTTTAAATTTATTCACTTTTAGTGGACTTAAAATTTTATCATCTTTATTATCTTACTATTTGTAAAGAGCCAAATACCTTCAAATTGCCTTTCAAAAAATTCAGATATACTTTTAGAAATTGACAATACCCTCACATTTTCAGCTGTTTTCTCAAAATCACACATGGTCACAGAGTAGTCAACTAGTTCTGATATTAAAGGCTTATATTTAAGGCTGGGCATTACAAAATGTAGCATATTAATTCTGATTCCAAAATAGTGCTCAAGTGTTGCTCAGCTTGGTCATCTAACCCAATCATGAAATACCAATGTAGAAAATATACTCTAAATAGTCTAATTACTAATAAATAGGTAGCAGAGGCAAATCCATAAATCTGGTATTTTAAAGCTTAAAGAAACGAGTAAAACCAAAATTCAACGCTTTCAGGCGGTTTTCAGAAGAGCACTTCTGTTGGGCAGCGGCGGACGGCTGAGCGCGTCTGCACGGCCAGGTGACCCCGGGCGCTCACTGCCCAGACGCAGTGACCGCCTTCTCCCGATGCCGTCAAAGGAAGATATTCCTGTTTTCTGTGGTAGTTTCTCTTTATTGTTTTAAGCTATTGATAACATAGCATGGCAGCAAGATTACATCAGGAATGTAATATAGTAACAACTGTGTTCATCGGAGCCTCATCCCTAGCTACCCGCTACGCTATCTGGAGTGTTCCCCCTGCACCAAAGCACGACCACGGCGCCTCTCCCGCTTCTCCCAGGACATGTGTCAAACACCGCACTGCACGGAGGGCTATTTTACAAACAGCATGAGCAGCGTGCCTGAGCTTTCCATGGCTGTGGTTCTACAGCGTTCAACACTTGCAAAGCACGAGTAGATTGTCATGAAACCCAAGTTTCGTCGCATTTCTACAGCTCTTTCAAATGCATCTGTCTCAGCAGCGTGCTTGGATGTCCGTCGCTACGACTTCCGTGGTATGATCCACAAACACCAGCCACTTACAGACACGCCACCTCCCCGGTTATCGACGGTAAGTTATTTTTATAAGATGAACGTTGGTTATCACGTTGGGCAGCCTGTTTCAAGCACGTGTTACAGAATTAACGTTTTAGCTTTCAGAGAATTTTGTGTATAAAGACTTCTACAGCAGTGTTCTTGGAAAACACAAGCATGCTTAAATAAACCAAGGGGGGCATACACAGCTATATTTTTGTTATTAGCTTGGCCAAGAGAAGTATTGTTTCCTAATATTTCACTTAATAGCAGAAATGAGAATTGGCTATTGATTTTAAAGAGTGGAGTAACTTTTCTACCCTCAGAAATGCTTTTATCGCCCATGTAAGTCATACCTTTATTGGAATAACTCTGCTACTCAGAGCACTCAGTTATGTAATGCTATTGCTTTCCTCACAACGATCTCGTGAGGTAGAGTAAATCTTGTTTATTCCTACTCGGAGCTGCAGCACGCAGCCCTTTTGTGGCTTGCTTATGGTTATACAGTTCATTTACAGCCAGTGGGAGAGCTAGGACTTAAAACTCTAGTGTGGTGTCCTGGGCTACAGATTTGGGCCAGAATCCATACTATCATACCATGCCTTTTTCTGCCAGCCATACAAGCTTTATATATATAAAACTAGGCGGGACGGCTTGTATATATATATTTTTTACATATATATTATCATAGTAGCTGCCAACAAAAAGGAGGAACATATGGATCTTTGCAGAGGCAGAAGGAAGGCCACAGCTGCCATGGCGCGCCGACCGGGGCCGAGCCCACGTCGCCCTCACTCGCGTGTCACTGGCACCCACGCGATGGCCCGGGGACCACAGCAGATCTTCGTGTTCAGAAAACTGGCCCCACTTCCTATGTATCTATACTGTCTATTTTTTCTACTTAATTTTCTTTTTTCCCTCATGTATGAAAGTCTGAGCTACAGGAGCATTTGGAATGATCACCATTCCTTGAAGCCTGTAGGATGTCAGACAAAGCAGTAAGTCTATTGCGTATGATTCTTCTCCTTCACATTTTCCTACATGAAAATGTTTCTAGAGCAAAACAGCCCGAACCAGCTATCAGCATGGTCATTTTAAGAACAGTCCTCTGAAACTTGAAATATCCTTGCACGTGCTTTATTTCCTATGGGAGAACTGAAGATGAAAAATAATCAAATGTTTAGAACTTCCATTTAAAGGGAAAACAACATTTGAAAGATGATGTTTCAAAATCCCAATGGTTGCTGTTTTTCAGCAATCTCATCATCTCGCTACGAAATCCTTTACCAACTCTGTTCTGTATTTACTCCTTATTACATTTTGTTTTTCGGTGCAAGCTCTTCAAATTAATCACTATATCCTCACTATACTTCAACTGCACAAAACCTTTAGAGAAAAATTTCACAGAGGCATATAAAGCAAGCAATATACGTAAAAAAAAAAATTTTTTTTTTTACTAAATCAATAGAACTGACTAGAACCATAGCATCTGCTTTCATGATACATTTGGCAAAAACAAGACAAAAAGCACCCCCCCAGAATCCCAAAAATAATAAAAATCTCAAGCAAGTAGAGATAACAAACTTCTAACACAAAGTAAGATTCAAAGCCTGTTCCCTCAATGATCGCTGCCGTCGATTCGGGCACGCAGCGGTCTGTTACAACCGTGATAGAGACACAAACGTTACGAGAAGCTGGACAGCATCCTACTTGACACTGATTCAAAAACGAAGAGGAAGGAAAACAGCACAATGAGACATCACATACACCAACATGAAAAGTCAGCTTACATAATCTCATAATTAGAAAAAGTTAAAAATAAATTAGTAAAAATAAATTCCAAGTATAAACCCAACAAGCAGAGCGGTAAATGCAATCTGAAATAACCCATTCAGTGAGCCGGTCATGTTTTTGCTGGAAAACAACCTTTTCATTCTGGTTCTTAACACAAGCAAATAACTGTGGAGAAGCAGACCGAAGCGCATTAGAGGAGGGTGTCAGCGCGGGTATATCCACGGTACTTTGGATGCAACTTTCCCCCAACCACTTGAAAGTTCAGACAGACTGTTACACAGACTCAGATGGGCCAAATAAGTCGTCTGATATGCTGCTGAATGGCTGCGAGTCTATTAGTTGGGTTATTTCACTATCCAGATCTTCCTCTGTATCGTCCGTGTACTTGCTGATCTTTTTGGAGGGCTGGTCTAAGGACAGGCTCTCCAAGGACTCGATGTCCTCGATGCCCGCGCGGTAGTGGATCATAAGCAGCGTCAGGGCCTGCAGTCTCTCACCCGACTTAGCCAAAGCAGCGGAGAGAAGGGATTTTTTCCTCGTGTCGGCCATCTCTCTCTCTTCTCTGACGAGGGAGTTGTTATGTTCCAACTCCTGATCGATCTCATTCTGCAGTTTATCCAGCATGAACTCCAGTTTCTGGATCCTCTCCTCCGTAGGCAGGCCCCTGTACAGGTCGCGGCCAATCTCTTTCACCGCGATGAACACGCTGTCGTCCAGGCCGCCCTCCTTCCTCACCAGCTTCATCCCCGTGCTGCTGGCCCGTTTGGAGGGGCTGTGCGGGCCGCACACCTCCGTGTCGCTGCCCTCGTTGTCCGACGTGTTGGGGGTGTGTTTTGGGGAGGGTTCTACCAGATCGGCTCCCGGTTCGGAGAGGCGGGTTTTAGACACCTGCCGCAGATTTAACAACCGGGAGCTCGTGTTGATGATGTGCCTCGTCAACCCCGTCGTCTTGTTGGCCGACTTGCTGGCGTCGGCGTCGGCGCGGACAGGCGGGCCCAGGAGGGTGTCCTGTCCTTCCAGCCTGAGGTTTTTCAGGGCGCGGTCTAGCCGCCTATCGGCGGCTCCGCAGAGCGGAGTCTCGGTGAGACACTTTTCCTGGCATTTTTTATGGCAAACGTAGGCACAGAACATACACTGGGAGGCAGCTTTAGTCCACACTTTCTTCTTGCAGTAGTCGCACCAGGTTGGGTTCTGGAACTGCGTGTCCTGGAAGCTATGTTTATTCTCCGGTGAGCCCACCTGGCCGGCAGAGTGCTCCTCCTTCGGGAAGGCAGAAACCTCCTCCACCAAATGAAACTCCCTCTCTTTCTCCAAGTTAGCGCCTATATGGTGGTCCGGTTCTCCTTCTTTCAAATACTTGAAGTGAACAGTGATGTCACCAAAGCAGAACTTGTCATTGAAGCCCTTCTGCATGCTCAGGTTGCGCAGTGCGGTTCTGGTGACCGCAGCCTTAGGGGACGGGGCCTCCAGCCGGAACTTGGAGAGGTGCTCCATGTTCGATGTAGCGAGGCACCCTAAAGCCAGCTCTTCAAGCTTCAGGCTCACGTGCCCCAAACAGATGAGCCCCCCCAGCTTGAACGGGTCCCTGCACCACAGCGCAATGTTCAAGTACCTGTGGCAGGCCTCTATGTCGAAGACACAGGTCGCTCTGGTTCGTGTCCATTTTCCTAGCTTATTACGATAGGGAATTTCTGAGGATTCCCACATTTGAGGGTCGTCCGAACTGTCCTTAGGGGGGCAGGGACCTTCGGACGTTAAGTCTTTCGCCACCTCTTGCTTCGTTAAGAACTGCTTCGACGCGGCCACGTCTTCCAGGTGATCCAGCGTTCTCGCTTGCTTCTCAGCAGGTTTTTCTGCAGGCGGCGGCAGCGGCGCCTTTTCCAGCTTTTCGACAGGGACCTCGGGTTCCGCCGGGCTCGGTGCGTCGGCGGAAGGCAAAGGGGCTTTCACCTGCGGGCGCGGTGGCACCGGCGGTTTGAACGTGGGCCCCTGGGTGGGTTTGGACACTTGTGCTGGGTCTGTTGCCTCGGGGGGCTTTAGGGCTAAGGGTTTGCTTCCTTCTTTGGACGGGGGCTTTGGTGGTGGGGGGTGAGGTCCTACGACTAATTTTCGGTTTAGCACTGGCGACACCGTTCCAAGGGGTCTGACGGAGAGCGACGTCGGGGTGCGCCTGGGACTGTGACCCGCCGCCGGCGCCTCTTCCCTGCCCTCAGTCTGGGCTCGAACGTCACCCGCCAAGTCTTCAAACTCCGAGTCCAGATCTCTGCTCTCGGCGTCCACCGCCAGCCCGGCTGCTTCTTCCTCGTAGTTCGGTTGGCACGAGCTTGGCAGGAGGTTTTCCTCCAACTGTCCAAAATTGTCCTGCAGCACGGCGCCTTGATTACTCTGGCCCACGGGCCTCTCGTAATACACCAGGACGCGGTCTCCGGCCTGCTTGATCAGCTTCAGCACTTGCAGCGTAGACGTGATTTTCACACCTAAGAATTGAAAGGGAAAACATAAATTACTGCAATAAGAATGGCCTAAATTGCTAAATATAACTGCCACTAACTCGTGACTATTTGACTAATGAAAAAGTAATATGGAAACCTCCGAAATACAGGATTGGCTTTTGGATGCACCCGTGTACTGAGTCTCAAACCCTGAATGTGCTGACGTTCCAGAAATGTTTACCTTTTGAAACCAAGTGATGACACGAAAATCCTCAGAAAGGTGCCAAGCTGGTAACTCCTAACTGCTCTCCATTCCTTCCCAGGTTTGAATGACACTGTATCTCAGTTTAAGGGAGCTGAGTGAGACCTTGTGAAAGGATGTTATTAATGGCCCTGCCTGGGTAGCTCAGTTGGTTAGAGCAGTGTCCCAATGCACCAAGGCTGTGGGTTCAATCCCTGGTCAGGGCACATACAAGACTCAACCAATGAATGCATTAATAAAGTGGAACAAATTGGTGTTTCTCTCTCCCCCTCTAAAATCAATAATTTTAAAAAAATTAAAAAAAAAATTAATGGTTAAACCAGACTTTGAATGATAGGAAATTGATTCTACTGCAGGAAATCCCAAAATATACCAAGTTATACAAGCAATTGGTTCAAATTAAGAGACAGGTGCTTAAAATAAACTTAGCAAAATACTATATTATACATAATGTACTCTTTCATAGATTCTTTTTTTAATCAGCCTTACCCATTAACTAATCCTTTTGAGAACCAGAAGAGTAAGGAAGGCATAAGTTGCTTTAAAGTTAAACAAGTTGGTCACTATCTGCATGTGTATTTATAATATCTAGCTTAAGTTTTCCTTTTATTATTTTCTAACAGGTGCTACATTACATAGGTCAAAATTCAAAGGTACAAAAGACGTGTACTGAAAAATCTCCCTCCCACCCCTCTCTCCGAGCAACATTCTCCCTTCTCCGAGGCAGTCAAAGCCAGCAGCTCCTCATACGTTCTTCCAGGCGTGTACCATTCACAGGCCCCACCGGTCTCCTGCTCTGTCACTGCCCTCCTGAACACAGTGCCCGCCCAAGCCATCCCTTTCCGCAGGATTCAGAGAAAGGTGTGGCGGGTCTGGTTCCCAAAGGTCCTAGGGTCATCCCAAATGAATCAAAGTCACATCAGCCCCATCGAACAGCCTGACCTTTGGAGTTCCTCAGCCTACCTCCTCTCTCAGTGTGGAAATTAATCTCTGGCCGCAGTCTCTTATTTCCCATGTCGGACAACCCACTCTGCGGACTGAACCTGCTTTGAGGTCATTTCCAGATTTCACCAGTCCTCCTTTGCTTTCCTGGTCCACCTGGTTCTCCTGACACCACGTGCTTCCTCTCTGACCTCAGTCTCAAGGTTTTGGTGATGTTCACACCAAGATTTTCTACTCTGCTGCCCTGGCCCTCTCCTCTCCTACACCCACCTGTCTTTCTGGGCTCCAGGCCCGCTAGCCCCACCGTCTCCCTCCTCTGCTCCTGAGAGTCCCACCCGATCCAGCACCAAGTTACACTCTCCATCTCAGAAGGGCGTTCAGTGCTGCCGTAGCTTCTGTTGAATGGTCTCCAAAACACCAGCTCAAACCCCTCCCAGTCTCCGGAAGCCCACCCTTCCTGCTCCTTTATTCCACCCTTCCTGCTCCTTTATTCCGGGGAAGACATCACTGAAGGCGCTGAAAAGATCCACCAGAAGCCACCCTTCCTCCCTGCCGATCAGATCGTGTTCGGTGCTCGCCCGCCTCAGAGAAGGGGCACACCCTTCCCTGTACTTCGGGTCCCACTCTCCCCCAACCGTCTCCTTCAGCGCTTGGCTCCGTCAGTTATCCTCATATTTTCAGCCCCTTCTTCCTCCTGCTTTAAAACCATTTTCATGACACGGTACCAATTAGACCCACATCATCTCTTCTCTACTTTTCTCCACCGACATCTGCCCTTTGCACGCAGGTGTTCCCGTGGTGTAGGCCAGCACTAGTTTTCCCTGCCTTTCGCTCTCTTCCTGGGTCACAGTCGCTTCAGTAGCTTCAACTACCTGGTAGTTTTCCTTCGGTCTCTCCCCTCTTTCCTACATTCCCAACTTCTCCTGGGTGTCAGCACCTGGCTGTTCCTCCGACGCTGCAAATTCAGGGCAGTTAAAAACCCTCTTTGACCTTCTCCTGCTCCTGTCCTCACGACTACGTGGATCAGCCTGCACCCTCAGTTAACCTGCTGCGGGTCCCAGAGATAGCTGACTCCCTTCTCAGCCGCCAACTGTCCAAGTTCCAGTCCGTCTTCATCTCCTCTCCAGCTCCTCGAGACCACCGGCCTCGACCGCAGGAACACACAGCTCTTTGCTGTGACCCCTGACCCGCACCTTCCCTGTCTGAGTCATCCAACGTATCGCTCAAACATCTTTGGCCTATAAACTCACCACGCGGAAATCCAGAGCTTTCTAACGTGACTCTTCATGGTTCACCCAGCCTTAACTTCTACTACTTCCCTTTAACCACAGTATGTCCCGGCAAAACTGTAGTTCGACATGTGCATGAATGAAAAATACGCCCATCTAACGATCTGCAGCAGGCAAAAACTTCGACTCAGTCTAAACCCGTTCTCTGTGATGTAACACCTGCCCACGTCTCAGCGCTTCCCCGGCCACCGGGAGCTCTTTGGAGACGGCCGCTGTGCCTCCTAGACGGCCGCTGGTTGGCCAAACAGGAATTCCTTTTCTTTTGGGACATTTCAAATATATGCACAAGTAGATGAAATAGTAAAATAAACTCCATTACTGAGTTCCAAATATAACAAACATTTTGTTAATCTTATTTCAACTGTCATCAATCCCATTATTAAATATTTTAAAAATTACTGCAGACCCATATAAATGAATTACAGCTATAAAAAATTAATATATATCACACCTGCCCCTTATCTCAATAAATATTATTTTATATATGTTAGATCTACTTTTCCACTCTGCATACATTTATATTGCTTAGGTTTATTAATTTTTGGTAATAGATATTTACTACTCGTGTAACTGAAAATAAAACCCTTTAAAAAAAAGTACATAAGAAAAAAGTTAATTTTATCCTGTAGGTAAAACCAAAACAGTATGTGTGACTATAAAAAAATTTTATACTGAATTGCGTTTTTTGATGGGATGAGAAAGAGTAACTGCTATATTTATGTTAAACGATTAAGTGACAGGTGAGGTTTATTTTATGGCTTTGCTATCCTAAGTGTCTATGGCACATGTGTTTTAAATTACGTTGTAAGGATTCCTTTAGATTTTTATTTATAAAAAAGTTATCACTTTCTTTCCACTAAAAAGGAGCACGTGCTTACAGCAGTAAATGAAGAGGACGCCCCCCCCCCGCCCCGCCCCCTGCGTTCTCCGTAAACGTGCAGCACAGCGCACGGCAGCGCGGTTACCTCCAATGGCGATCAGCCGGTCTCCCCTCTGGAGGTCCGCAATCGCAGCAGGCGAGTTCGGGGCCACAGTCTCAATGATGACGTGCCCGGCATAGCCATCGGTGGACTGGACAAAGCGAAGTGTGAGCCCGACACTTTGTATATTCCCCTTAATTAATTCAACCTTTGATAAAGAGAAAGAAATGAAGACATTCAGTGGGGCCATAGCAGCAGAGTGAGAAAACACTAACACACTGAGAACGCTACAGCGGATGCTGACTTTTGCACCATGGTGACTAGTATCATAAACAAATAAAGCAGGAAGGAACTCTTTATTATGAATAGAAATTAACACACGCTATGACTGCAAGTCTAAGCCATTAAAAAATAATTTCCTTATCTTCGCTGTGTTTTATTACATGCTCACTGTGGAAAATTTGGAAATAAACAGAAAGGCAAAATGAAAACCACTTCTAGTAGTACTATCTAGACCTACACTGTCACTATTTTGTACTTTCTAATGTATATATCTTAACACAAAGTTGAGATCCCGCTAGGAATGTAATTCTGAATCTTGCTTTTTGGAAACATAATAGGAAAAATCTCTTATGTCATTAAATATACTTTTAACTTTTTTTAATCCTCACTAGAGGGCATGTTTATTGATTTTTTTCTTGAGAGAGAGAGACATCGATGTGAGAGAGAAACATCAATCGGTTGCCTCCCACAGGGACCCTAATTGGGGGTCAAATCAACAAACTTTTGGGTGCACAGGACGATGCTCCAACCAACTGAACCACCCGGCCAGGGCTAGATATACTTTGGAACCTCCATTTCTTATGGTGTACTGTTAAATATTCTTTTTGTGGAGGGGGGCAAAGGAAAAGCATTTACATTTATGTTTTATGAAGAGTTACCTTGTTAATGAGATATCCTATTCTAATTCATAAAGATAATTTTGTTTTCTAAATGAATGCATCCAATTTATCAGGAGTATGTACCCCAGGTTCACATTGTCTGTGACTTTAAGAAGCAATACTGCTGTCTGTCTGCATTCGAATCAAAGGGGAGAGCGCCACATCCCTCCAGACGGCAAGAATGCAGTCTGTGTTTACTGAGCTCAGTTACAAATCAGCCTAATTGTATTATCGGTCAGCTTAAGTTTCTTAGTTCTGTTCAAGATATCATTGTATTCTTCATGAGGAACTGTGCCAAACAACTTGCTAATATCCAAATATGTCACTGTCTATATTGCTTCAATATAAAAATCCCATGTGTAAGCGAGAAATTCAATTCTACTAATGATGTTGGTGAGTGAAAAAGTCCTTACTGGAAGTTGTTCTTTAATGGAAGTGTTCATAGATTTTATAAATTTGTTTTTGTACTAAGGAGAATCTTAATCATATTATACTCAAGAAATGGGGAAATGCAGTCAAGTTTTTGATGACCTGAAAGTTTATAAAAAACAAAAACCCTTCCAAAAAACATTATGTGCTTAAATCTCTACAATTTGTCTAAATAACCACTTTATAATGTTAAAAGTGTTTCCAGTTAACAAAAGCCCCTAAGAACATTCTCTCGACTTCCCAAACATAAATATATTCTTAATACAAAGTACCAAAGCAAATATTAAGAATGTAAATTGTTCTAGTATCAGAGAGCTAATGGTAGCTAGTCCATTAAAGAGCTAACCTGCACAAATCTGAGGACACACTTAAAAGCTGACACTCGGATCTGCAATGTGTGTGATTCACTTTGCCCTTAAAGCAGAACAGAGCGGGAGGGTGGGGCTGAGACGGGAGCTGAGGCTACTATGGGGCTTTGTGTGATGCGGTTGCCCATGTATTTTCTGCCTGCCAATCATATGATTCCCTTTGCTTTCCCAATTTCAGATGGAAGAGAGAGAAGGTTTTCAATAGGAATAATTAGTAATGGAAAATACAAAATTACTTCCCTTCCTCCCTAATTTTTACTACTGATTATTAGTAAATGCTCTTAATGTCATACTTATACAGGGAACACAACTTAAGACACCATTTTACCTCTTTTATTTTTAGAATATAAAAACAGCATTTAATTAAAAATCTGACAAAACAAAGTATTTAGAAATGAGTATCACAAACATTTTGTTATTTTAACATAAAATTTAAGGTACAGTTTACAAGACCATCCAAATGATACTGTGACTTTAGGAACAAAACTGCCATCTCTCACTGGGGTAAAACTATTTAAAAACAACAAGAGACAAAAAGCACATCACGTGACACAATTCTCCCCCATACACATGTACCTGTATTTTAAAATTATATTTAAGACCACTGGATACACCGTGCACTATAAAACACGTGCCAAAATAGAACCTTTTAAGTCGTGAGGTAAAAATAGAAATTTTAAATACTTTTTCTATTTCTAGTGCAGCAAGTGGCATTAACTCCCTGAAATATAACATCATTACCCAAGAGATTGTGGCTTTTAAGATTTTATTCTGGAAAATTTTAAATGTATACAAAGGCAAAGGTAACAGGTGACATGAACCCTGTGACCACAAGTTACTACTGCTCCTGTATGTACCTCCCCTTGCAATTACTAGTTTACCAAAACTGCCACTAAAGATGTAACCTGTTTCGATACTTTTCCCAACAACCAGTATGACTAGAAAAGGTAGGCGAAGACACAGGCTATCTGAGCATGCTCAGCCTCGACTTCAGTGACGTCTGCAGAACACTGCACCTCACCATGGAGGAACACACTGGCTTTTCAAGTGCACGAGGAAAGTTCCCCAAGATGTGCTAGGTCATAAAGCAAGGGTCAATAAACTGAAAAAGTCTGAAGTTCAAGGTATGTTCTCTGAATGGAAGTTAAATTGGAAATCAATTAACAATAAGATAATCAGAAAAACCCCTATCAAATATCTGCAAAGTAAAACAACACACTTCTAAATCATTCATGGTCAAAGAAGAAGTCAAAAGAGACATCTTTATAGGTTTAAATGCTGATGTTAGGAAAATGTATCTAAAATTAGTTATCTTTGGCCCTGACCGGTGTGGCTCGGTTGGGTGTTGTCCTGCAAAGTGGAAGGTCACATGCCTGAATTGCTGGTTCAGTCCCTGGTTGGGACGCTTAGGAGAGGCAACCAATCAATGTTTCCCTCTCACATCGATGTTTCTCATCCTCTTCCTCTTTTTCTCCCCTCTCCCCCTGTCTCTAAACATAAATGAAATCTTCAAAAACATTAGTGATCTTTGTTCCTAAACCCCAAAGTAGAAGGAGAGAATAAAGAGCAGAGATCAACGAAACAGAAACACAACAGAAAAGTCATGAACGCTGATTCAATGAATTAATAAGCCTGATGATTCAATAACACTGATACATTGCTAAGCTAGACTGAAGAGAAAAAAAGGATACATATCACCGAAATCAAAATAAGAGGAGAGTATTACTACAGAATCTACAGACATTCGAAAAATGTATGCACGACTTTATGCTGATACATTTGACAATAATGTATCATTGATACATTATATATAAATGAAAACTGACCCCAAAAGGCAGAAATTTTGAATACCCCTATACCAATTAAATGTATCAAATTCACAAACTTTCCCAGAAAACAAAAAACTAAAACCAAAACCAAAAAACCCCTCCAGGTCTAGATTGCTGGCTTCATTGGTGAATTCTTAAGGAAGAAATACAATCCTATCTGGAATCTTTGAGAAACAGAGAAGGAAGGGACACTTCTGAAATCACGAGTTATGGTCAATGTTACCCTAATTCCCAAACCCAGACAAATGCAAAACAGGAAAGCAGAATGATAGATTATTCTAATGTTCAAATATGGATTGAAAATATCCATGAGTATATAAGAACTCCTAAAACTAAACAAAAAAAACTAACAAGATTTGGAAAAATATCCAAAATATATTTGAATGGACACTTCACAAAAAAAGATACATACGAATGGCCAATAAGCACATTAAAAACATTTAATTAGTCATTACAGTAAACACACATTAAAACCACAGTGAGATGATACTACTACTACTACTACTACTACTACTACTACTACTACTACTACTACTGGATAGTAGTAATACCAGAATGGCTGGAATTAAAGGCCGATAATATCGAGTGTTGATGAGGTAAACAAAGTAAATGAAACTCTCATGCATTGCTGGTGGGAATATAAAATGGTGCAGCTACTTTGCAAAAATTCGACACCTTCTTAAGTTAAGCATACACTTACCATATGACCTAACAATCTTATTTTTAGGTATTTTATCAAAGGGAAATGAAAATATGTCCAAAGACTTGAATGCAAATATTCACAAAACATCATTCATAAATTAATTGGTCAATCAAGAATTGGTCAGCTGGTGAATTGATATTTGAACTATTAATACTACTCAGCAACAAAAATAAAATTTTAATACACACAACACAGATAAGTCTCAAAGTTATGCTGAGTGAAAGGAATCAAACAGAAAAGACGATATACTCTATGATTCATTTTGTATGCAATTCTAGAAAAGGCAAAATTACAGTGACAGGAAGATTAGGGCGTGCCAAGGACTAGGGCTGGGGCTGAATACTGAGGGCCAGTGCACCAGTGAAGTTGTCAAGGTGAAGAAGTATTCTGTAACTTGACTGGGGTGAAGGTTACAGGACTGTACCCAATTAGCGAAGTTCACCAACTATACATTTAGTGAGTTTATTGTATTTAAATGATACCTTATAAAACTATTAAAAATAAAGCGAAAATAAAACCTTGAATATGCCATTTTTGTCTAAGAAACTTAAAATACAGATCACTGGTAATTAGACAGTCCTTAGTTTTCTAATATACTTAATTTAATAAAACTTGGGATGTATTTAAATGGCCCTTAAGTCACTCAGAAAGGAGAGCAACATTCAGACAGTTTTTCCATTTGACTTGCGTCAACCAAATGCACACGGACTCTCAACTACAGATAACAGGAATTGCTAGACTCTAGGTACAGGATACACCAGACATTAATGATCAGGAGTAAGAACAAACTGTGTTTGAAAGAAAAAGACACTTGAAAATGTAACCCTCATTTTTATTTTGCTGTTAAATAAAACATAAAGATAAACCTTTAAGCTGTCATCAAATACTTTCGTGTAATTATAAAAGAAAATGCACGAAAGAACATGCAACGAAGGCCA